CAATTTGGTGAAAATTAGAACAAATGCTGTTTATCACCGATTAGGATCGGAAACAGGCAAGCCTATTTGTTCAGAACCCTTTTACCTTTTTTACCTAAATCCTTTACTGTGTATCAGAACCCTAATATATAGAAAGATTGAAGTGCTGACAGACAAATAAGATAACTGAAAACAAAATGTTAATTCAGAGTCCAACAACACAGTTTCCTCTTTGTTGATGAAAGTGGGAATAGATTAAAACCACTTAAAAGATTTGTTCTGATTTCTTCAGGATCGAAATGCAATTGAATATTCTATCAAATGGCAAACCACCTGTAACACCATCCCACACAACAACTACTTTGGTCAGATGCCTTTTCCTATTTTGGTTCTATCAAAGAGTTTAATTCCGAACTACACCTCTAATTTTTTTCAGTTGTTGGTAGAAGTTTCTAGTCCCTAGACACTGGAGGAAAAGTTTATTTATGATTACTCCATTGCATTTGATTTAAGATTCTAATGCTGCTTTTTTGGATAATTTTTGTTGTACAAGATTCAGAGTTCGGTATAGTTTTGCCGAGTCTTAAGTTTTTATTAGGTAGGATTGATTCATTGGTGAATCAGTGCTAGTAATCTGATCTGTCAGTATTGATTAACACAGACTTTCTCTGTCCGATTGATTCAGACACCCACCTTCAAGATTGAGCGATCTTTCCCAGTGGTCATCATCCAGGATATTTTGCTGAAGGATTTCTAGCATTGAGAAGCTTGTTCCAAGCTTCAAATCTGTGTCTGTGGCTGAGGTTGTGCTATTTAATTTGCTCAAAAAATATTTAGAGCAGATTATTGAATTTACATGGACTGTCGTGAAACACCTAAACAGGTTGGACACAGTCTTCTTACCTTTGAGATTTAGCATTTGTGTTAAATCTTACAAATCTTTTTGCTCAACATCTTGCACAGATACATAATATCACAGCGAACACCCTCAGTAGGAACAAAGCCAAGCCAAACATGGACTGTTTGATAGGCTAACTGATCCTTAATGATATATGGCTTTACTAAAAATAGATCTTCTTGAGATTTGATTGCAGCTGGTAAGATAGGCAAACTGTAGAGCTTCTGGAAAGATGGAAAGAAGACTTCCTTTGTGCATTTTCATACTTTCTTCACATAATATGAATTTATTATTATTTTATTTTGTTATTCACAGGATCTGAGGGAGGAAGGGAATATCATCTCAATTATTGAAATTTTTTTGAGTCCTGAATACCTTACTGTGCCATTGATCAAACCTTTTAGTTTCTTTACATATTGGTTGGTGCAGATGGAATGCTGGATATGTCATGATTCACTTCAGAAACTCTATTTGACCACTTAGCCATTGAGAGGGACATAGTGTTCTTCTCATAGATGAAGAAATTGTCTATATTCTTCCTTTTTAAAAGTCTATAATTTCATATATGGAGATTATTGTATGAACCTTATTGGAGTATGGCATTCCAGTTAATCTCATTTATTGTATTGATGTTGTTTTGGATGACGTTGAGTTTCTTGAAAGATAGGCACAAGTTTAGTTAGCGATTATTAAAATGTTGCCAAAACCTGAAGCCCATAACTGTAGTAGGTATTGTTATTTTTTATGGTTAGCTGGGTATCTGACGATATGAAAATCTATTATTATGCTCATGTCTCCAACCCAGAGTCTGAGAGTTCAATATATTCCTTCTAGGCTTCCATTTGTCTGGTATGGAGTCTGCACCCTCTCCCCAGAATAAACTGCTTACTCAATCCCAGAGAGTTTAAGCACATGTTGCCAAGAACCAAGGCTTGAGGACCCCAGAGGATACAGTGCTGGAGTTTAATCATCTAATTCTGTGTAGTTATTTAAATTCTGGCACTGATAATCGATTCTTGTCCAGATTAATTTTCATAGATTCATAAAATGTTACGGCACAGAAGGAGGCCATTCGGCCCATCAAGTCTGTGCCGGCTCTTTGACAGAGCAAGTCACTTTCACTAACCCCAATCACCAGCTTTCTCCCCATAACCCTGCAAACCCGTCTTCCCCAGATACCTATCCAGTTCTCTCTTAAAAGCTGTTATCGAATCGGACTTCACTACCCTTTCAGGCAGATCATTCCAAATTCGAACAACTCGCTGAGTGAAAAAAATTCTTCTAACCTCCCCTCTGCTTCTTTTGTTAGATATCTTAAGACTGTAACCACAGGTCACAGACACACCTACCAGCGGAAACAGCTTTTCCTTATCTAGCCTGTCGAAACCTTTCATGATCCTGAAGACCTCTATCAGGTCCCCGCGTAACCTTCTTTGCTCTAATGGGAAAAGTCCTAACTTCTCCAGCCTGTCCTCATAGCAAAGGTTCCCCATTCCTGGTATCATTCTCGTGAATCTCCTCTGCACCCTTTGCCTTAATGTCCTTCCTGAAGTAAGGTGCCCAGAACTGGACGCAGTACTCCAGCTGAGGCCTAACCAGTGTTTTGTATAGATTAACCATAACCTCCCTGCTCTTATACTCTATGCCCCTACTAATAAAGCTCAGTACACCAAATGCCTTTTTTACTGCCTTATCTACCTGCCCCGCTACCTTTAATAGTTTGCTTACTTGAACACCCAGATCTCTCTGTACGTTCACCCCCCTTAAGATTGAGCTACCAAGTCTATATTGCCTCCTATCATTTTTCCTACCTAAGTGTATCACCTCACACTTATCCACATTGAAATCCATCTGCCACATGTCAGGCCATTCCACCATTCTGTGTATGTCTGCTTGCAGTTGGTTACAGTCCTCCTCGCTATTTACTACCCTATCCAACTTTGTATCATCTGCAAACTTGGAAACGGTGCTCTCTATGCCCAAGTCCAGATCATTAATATATATGATAGGACCACCCTACTCATTAGGGCTTTCACTTGAAGAGTTAACAGGAGCTGAGAAGAGAAGAATCCCAGCTGCCATTTGAGGGTCTGCTTCTCCAAGTCCTGTTCATGAGCTGGCTATTTGGTCCATCAACAGTACCTGGGAGTATTGCTTGCTTGACTTGTATTACTGAGACTGCCACAAAAGATACTCATTCTGATGTTCGATTGTTTTGTATGTACCTTAAAGCCAACTTAGTCCCAAAGAAACCTTATTGACTTTCTGCACCCTACACCTCCTCCTCTGCCCCCCCTCCTCCTCTACTTCCCCTCCTCCTCTGCTCCCCCTTCCCCCCCCCCCTCCTACCACTCCCTCCACACACCCCATAGGAAGATAGTCAATAGGTGGTCAGTAGTTATCTGATAAGCGCAGATTTGAGATCTTAAATGGATGCCGGGTACCAGGAACTCCTTGTGAGCTGTATGGTTAGCAGTGCAACTCAGCATACGATGAGTGTTAGCTTTCCCATCATCCTCTTGTCCAAGCCTACACACAGATTAAGTGATGAGTCCAACAGTTAGAGGTAACTTCTTGTACTAGAAGGAAGTTGCCACATAATTGTTGGTGAATTGACTATTTCATTTAGGTTTAAAGCCTTCAGGATCCTCTTAACTAAAATAAGTAAGTTGTAGATGAATATCTGTACTTTGGAGGGAAGCATCTGAAAGTTCACCCTCACTCCAAACACAGCTGAGGGTTTTCAAAAAGAGTACTGAACGTAATATTTTGCCAACATTTGTGTTTGTTTTGTTTAGTTTCTTGGATCCTATATCAGTTTCTTGCGCATAGTATAATATGCTATAATTATGTCTTTAGAAACTGTTTTATTCTAAATGTAATGAGGGGTGGGTGTATGAGGGAGTGTAGATCACAAGTGCATTCTAACTCTCTCAACATTTAATTACCAGATACCACATATTTTCTATTGTCATACCTTTACAAATGAATTGACTCAGAAGTGACTGAAGGGCAAATTCACTTTGTAGAGACCTTTAATTCCTGTAATTAGGAGCACACGAGAGAAAATAATAATCTAGTGTTTATTTTGGTGTATATAAACATGTTCATCAATGTAATTGATAAAAAGTTCTGAAGTCCAACGTTCCTCATCATTGTGACCAGTGACATTACACACACCAGATTTCCAATTTTGAAGGAGCACATCCTGGTTGTGTAACAGTTTGATCCCTACACCTATTGATAAACTTAACAACAGTTTGTACACTATGAGTATACATGAAAACAAATATAAATCATGTGTTCAAAAAATAGCGTTGTTGAACACAAGTTGAAGTACAAGATTTATTTCAGTTAGGAAGACTTTTGTAGCTTTGTCACTTTCAAAAACAGCATCTCCTCTGCATCCTCCAGCGACATTGTCCATTCAAATTAAGACTACCTGGTTAACATCTGATTACTTTTAAAGTACTGTGGACTTGTATGCATTGGAAGTTGGTATGTCTAGTTCAAGCAATGTTTATCTCTTGTGGTGGGCCAGAATTCAAAATATAGTTTCAAGAATGATTTAACGTTCTGTGCCATCCAGGCTCTCTGATATTAATTTCTCGCCCAATTCGTTAAACAAAGTAGTTTTCTATATAAAATATGGAACATTTCAAAAAACAATTGTAAAAGTAAAGTAATAATTCAATGTACACAAAGCTTCATGTGAACATCTTGATTCTACTGTGCTATCTGACAAAAAATTCACAAATGAACAATTTTCAGGAAAGTGATTTAAGGTATTGATTGTTGTTCAAACAGTTTTTCATCATGAAGAAGTGTGGCATATTTTCAAATAAATAATTTTACTTGCTGTGTGATTTGGGGGATTTTTTTTAAAAAAAGGGAATATAGTTTTATTATCATAAGTTGATAAGAAATTCAGAGATGCGATGCAAAGGAAAAATTCTGAATGCTGGCAAATTGGATCTTCTTTTGACAGAGAAAGATTGGTTAACATTTCAATAGAATTTAAACACCGAGTATGCAGAGTATGTGTTTTCTCCAATACATTTAGGAGCTCTATTGATTCTTTGTTGCAGGATGCAATAACAAAGGAATTGTTCTTTCTTTACAGAGTGCTGCAGCAGCTCCTAGTCCAGTGCTAGGAAACATTCCCCCAGGAGAAGGAATGCCAGTAGGTCCAGTGCCACCGGGTTTCTTCCAGGTAACAGATTTGAACAATAGGAACATGTTAATGATTGATAATATACAAACAAGAATATCACACCTGTATGAAATTATTCTATGATGTAAAGTATTCCTGAGAAACATAACAGTTTACGTTACTTAAATGGTGAAATCAGAAACTCCTAAGATATTTATACATATGAAATTTGATGAAAGTTTTAAACCAAATTAAATATAAGGTGTTGTACTGTTCAACTTGGTGGTAGTGCCTCCGGTTATATTTAAAGGTTGTTGCTTTTAAAACAGCTGGATGCCTTCATAGGCGATCATTGGTAGAATTACTAATATTGTGATTCCACTGCCAGCAACCTAGTTAATATTTTTCTCAAGCAGAGAAATACTTATCAACCCCTTTAGGACTACCATTTTTTTCAAGGGCTGACTACAGATGGACCATCCTGCTTCACCTGCAGCTGAACCTGATTTCATAGGCAACACGTGGTTTAGTGACAGATGTGATAGCGGTACTATTGCATCAATGCCTCAATTGGGAGATTAAGGTCTTCTGACAATACAGAAACCCATCATTAGGTTTAAGAGTATTCAAATCATAGTACTAAAAGCTGTACAAATGTTTGGTTGGTTCCCTGGAACTCCATATCAGACACCGACTCCATCCCTCCTCCCCTCTTCAAGAGACGTCTCAAAATATACCTCTTTCACTGTGCTTTCAGTCATCTTTCTTCTCCCATGCCCTTGATTCCCACCCCTATCTTAGGTGCTCTCCAGCACTATGAATGGCTTTGCGACATCTTCCCCAATTGAAAGACACTAAATAAAAATGACCTGTGTTGCATTGTCTAGAACGGAGTACTGTACTATGGTGAGCAACACAGTTCAGCATAAAGTATGTGAGTACAGTGTCATCGTTCTCGAGCTCACAGCCCAGACATTCCACTCCTAACCATTTGAGAGATGGTTCAACCAGTTGGAAGTGTTGAGTTTCAGCAGCAATTGATTATTTCTTTGATTAGCTATCAAGGCAGATACCAATTCCTGAATATATGAGCTTGTATTCATGAACCCAGCCTCCAGATGATGCCTTCCAGCAGCTGTCACTCTAAGCCTTATGGCTTTCCCATCAGATATTTGACAGATGTCTGATGTTAGAGCGGTGAAAAGACCTATATACGTGAGTTGCAACTCCCTGTCTCAATCTCTCCACCTTGCCTCCACCTTGCCCATCTTTATATCGTACCTAAATTCCTTCCTCTTTGACCGTAACTATGGTCACTTCCCTTCTCTCCCGGCTCAGTGTCAAGCTCTGCCATTGTTAAACTCTCCTAAAATTCTACCCCGTATGAAGGACGAGATATAAATACAAGTTGTTGTTGTTGTTGCTGGCCACCTTGCATAGAGGTCCAAGTCCAACCGGAAAAAGGTTAGAAAATGAGCCTCCCCAAATAAGCCTCATTTTAATTTGATATTGAAGAATAATGTATTTTTATAACTTATTACATTTAGTATCAAGATGGATAAACGTGAGAGGAGTACTCATTCATTTTCCTCCCCACGCCAAAGTAAAACCACCTATGCAAACCTTCTTGGAGTTTGCTTCACAATGAAAAATGTCTCAACTCAGCACATCTGTAGTTAGTCTGAAACAAGGTAATTTTTTTTTAATGAGGCACTCAGGCAGATAATATCATTGCCTGTTTATACCTGAATCACCTGGGAGACTGTGCTTGATGTTCTGTACAAAAGACTTTAACCCACTAAATACTGATTTTATATAATTGTAATAATGGAAATAGTCGCTCTCTAAAGGAAAATTATAAAAAGCACGGGCTAGATTTCAAATGTCTAATTCTGAATTAATGCTTGCAGTGTCACATACTCCTAGATCACAACTCAATCTGAATGATTTTGGCTCACTCACTATCATGTCAAAGAACCACACTAAACTCACCAAAACACACACATAAATTACAGTAAAAATACCATTAAAGTTTTTTTTTTACTGGCTTTCCCTGCCCTTATGCTGGGAAAATTTATGCTAATTTAGCTTCCACATGCAATCCTGACAGCCCAGAAAACTCAGCACAGACTCGAACAAGCAAATTCAAGCAGATTCAAACAAGCAAATTCCCAGTCAGCAAGGTGCGGTTCTAACCACTGCAGTACACCGTTGTGGCTGGTTCTAGGAGCAGCAACAACAACAGCAATTTGCATTTATATAGCGCCCTTCAAGTGGGGCAGAGTCTCGGAGCACTAAAAGCAACCTTTCTAAGTAATTTTCTAATTCCGTAAGAATTATTCCAAATGGTTCAAAGCCATTTTTTCTAAATGGTTCAGAATTTGGTAAAGATTCCAGCATTCTGGAGAAGATTGAACCTTGAAGTAAACTTATGTTGCAGTTTTTCTAAAGGTTAATAAAAATGAAACCTTTGGGATATCATATTTGTCAACTCTGCAGAAATGCTGNTTTTTTAAGGAAACAGAAATTAGGGATTGCCTTTTTCCTCAGAATTTCCTAATGTTGTTTGGGTTTCAGCAATTATTTTTATTTGTTCAACACCTTACCTGATAACATTGGGCTAAATTAGGGAGAAAAGCATTCATTCGTTTTTATTTGTTCTCCAGCAAATACTATCAGCATCTATGCTGATTCATATGTTATTTAAGGTGACTATTAACCTGTTCACATTTCTGTCTGCTGGAAGTTTTTGTCCTCCTGCTATTATAAGCACAAATGAGGAAAGAAAGGCACAGAAAACCTGTATAAATGTCCAAGCTAGAAACCCATGAGGGAGGGCAGAGGGAGTAAGAGGGTGGCTGAAGGTACTGTCAGAAAGGAGGGTCTTGAGTCATGCCTTGAAGGAGGCAAGAGAGGGAGCAAAGCCAGAAACAGCCTATTCTCTTAACCTGGTTTAACCTTCCAACTCTACCATGACAGTTTTTGCATGAGGCACGTGAGGTTAGCAGAGCACCATTGTCTCCTAATGGAAGGTGCACCTCTCTAGATGATGTGTATGCCGAAAGTGTTAAGGATGTCAGCATGCTACAGCACCCTGCTGCTGTGGGACTGAATCTTCCAATGTGTGAAAATAGCAAAATGATTACACATGTGATTGGCATTTAATGTTCAGTGACAGTACATTGCATGAGGCAGTTTGGTTTAATGAGTGGAGTGGTTTTGAAATATTATTATTCATGCTTGTTCCCTTTGAGAAATATTTTTTCTTCTTCCTTCAATGGATTCCCGAGTTAAGTACGCTTTCAGATTCATGACCATACGGGAGTGGAGTTGTGAGCTCAGCTCTCCTTTAATTCTTTTTCATCCTTACTTAGTTATCGATTCACGATAGCTGACCAACGTAACTGCTACTTCCAGTTTCCTTTCTTTATAGGAAAGCATCCCACTTTGACTTATCTCTCCAACCTGCTTACTACCTGCTGCCTCTGCTGGACTGGCTCTGGCCTTCTGCATGTCCTTCGTTCCACCATTGGTCGCAGCGCTTTCAGCCACTATGCTCTGGAGCACTCTTCCTCTATTCCTCCGTCTTGACCCTTCCTTCCCCGTCTTCAGATCGCGCCTGAAGACCTTCCTCGTTGACCGTGCTTACGGTCACCTCCCCACTCCCCCAGCTCGGCATTGTGCTCCGCCGCTGTCAAGCGCTGTGAGACGCTACCTTGCATGAGGGGTGCTATATAAATGCAAGTTGCTGTTGTATCTTTTTCCCCAATGACTAGGTTGGAGCTATGTAGTGAACCACAGCAATAAACACCTATCATCTCAAATAATAGTGTCACAATATTTATTTAGCATATTTACTTTGTTTGTTTATTAAGTTTATAGTAGTAAATTTTCACTTCTTACTGATTCTTTGGTGATCTGAGGTCATTTAAATTGATGAATTGAGTTATTCAATGAATGGAGGAGAGTAACTAGTATCCATGACCCTTAGGTTAGGTTAAAAACATAGTCTTAAAGTTCCCTCAAAATGAAAGTTGGAATGCCGTAAAAATGTTTCATGTGAATTTTCAGTATAATGATCACAGATTAATGGCTAAATATAGCTTTGCAAAGTCATCTACATTGGAGGAAATGTCACTTATGGAATAAACCATCTCCTGATTCTGCAAATAGTCTGAACGTTCTTTTATAAGCATTCACTAGTTTTAAATCTAATAGTCATGAAAGGAGTAATATAATTTACTGCATATTCTGAATATTTTCTTTTTAGTTTTTTTGTGAATTTTATGCTCAAACTAAGGTATGTTAGGGTTGAAGAAAAGGAACATTTCTAATTTTTGAATTAAGTACTGCCATGTGGTCAGTTATAGCACAGTTGCATATGGAGTGGTCCTATAGCTCTGCCCAAAAATGTGCCTTAGCTCAATCCTCAGATTGACACCTTTATTAGAACAATGTAATATTTTTCCATTTCTCACACCAAGATTACTAATTTTTTTATTAAACCAAGGGCAGTTTTGTAATGTGACCCCATGAGGAACTAGGTAGAGACTTGTCAGATTAATTTCACATAGTACCTTTAAACCCAGCTATCAGAGGAGACTTTCATCCCATTTGCTAATCCATCTGGTGCCATCTGTTACTCTCTAAATTTGCTTTTTAAATAATCTTTTTATTGCATGACAATTTTTTTTAAATGGAAACTTTCTTCACAAATTGGGGATTAAGAAATGTATTGAAAGTCTCTCCAGAGAGAAACACAGACAAGTCACATCCAGTAAAAATGTGCTAAATATCACTTAAATTGTGATTTGTAAACATTTGTTAGTACCCATGGCTTTCTGTTTACAACATTTGTAGAATAAATCTATAATACTTGCCAGTTTAGAGTGTGTCTGTATCCTTATTGATACTTTTGTTACCTCCTGCTTTGACTTCTGAATGTACTCCTTGTTGGTCTCCCTGGTTCCACCATCCACAAAATTCAGCTAATCCCAAATTTCCTATATTCCTTACCTACACCAAACTCTGCATATCAAATCCTTGTCCGGTTCTACTGGCTCCCAACCAATCGATATCAAACTCCTCACCCTTACTTATAAATTCCTCCATGCCCTACTGATCTCCCTGATCTTCTCCTGCCCTAGTCCTCTGTTTGTCTCTCTAATCGACTAACTCAGGACTGCTGTACATCCCTTTCCTGTACCAAGCCACCCTCAGCCAAGCCTTCACTCCCTAACCTCCTGAACTCACTCACTCTACACACTGCCTTATCCCCTCTCTTTTAAATCCTGATTAAAACATACCTCTTCAACTGGCCTATGGTCACTTCTTTCCCCCCCCCCCCATCTCCCATTCCTTTGCTCGACATCCAACCCTGCCACTGTGAAGCACTCTGAGATGAATATGAAGGGTGCTATATAAATGCAAATTATTATTATGTACTGTGGACCTGTATTATACTGGAAGTGTGGTACACTTGGCTTCTGGGGTGACTGACTGGCTTCTCGTGCTAAAAAAGCCAGGTAGCCACTGACGTTACTTTCTGAATGTTGCACATGTTCACTACCTGCAGAAACACAACTGAAACATGGTACTTTTCAGGCCTTCAACTAATTTCTGAATATAATCAAAGGAAGCTGCTGCTGGTACTATGGGATGATGCTAGTGAAAATAGTTTGTTTTAATGTTATATTTCCACCAATGTTTATAAAAATAGGTTCACATGTTGGGAGAATAATTGGCAGTTTACAATAATACCACTTAACCATTTAGGAGTACAAAGATTTTAAAAAGGTGTAATCTAATCTCAATTTGAGATATACTTGGCAGAGCTGGTCAGTAATTATGCTAACTGTGCTGCTGGCTAATTTTTGTTTGTAATTGTCTCCAGGGACCACCAGGTTCACAGCCCTCGCCACATGCACAACCTCCACCACACAACCCCAGCAATCCCATGATGGGACCTCACAGCCAGGTAGGAGGGTACAAGTAGCTATTCAACAAAAGCTGTTTAAACATCAAATCTGATAATATCTACTGTGTTTTATGGTTTGTTATTCAATAGTTCCTATGCTTTTCTGATTTGGCTCTGCAAGAGTAATTTGTGCTTGCACTTGTAGCTTCCTTGCATTGATCATCTTGAGCATGGCTCTTACTGGTGGAGTACTTTGTGAGGAATCTTAATTTTCTCACTGGCACAAACCCATGTATTGATGGTATAACTAACTGCAATATTTAGGTTACTAGCTTTATATTCTTGACTTGTCTACTGAGTAGAACGTTGCATCTTGCTTAGTGTGGATTTTATTACTAAGTGGAGGCAGCTCAGTAAAGACACTTCGAAAATAAATTCTGGATTTGGTCAAGTAAATTAAAATGTCACATTGCTTAAAAGCACCTAAAATATAGCACTCACAATTGCAATAAACCTTTCTAAAGGGTAAGTGAGGGTTTGGCTGGGTGAGTAATATTTTTACTAAAATCACAGGATACCACAATAGTAATTTTTGCTTTATTTTGCAAACATAAACTGATCTTCAGTTCGTACACATTTCTTTGATTGTAAATTCTATGATAAGGCCTCTTAAGTATTTATGAAATAAATATTCTGTCACATTATTTTTTTTACAATTATATTTTTAAACTTACCACTTTGTGGCTGGTCTATTGATCAGAGCTGCTGTAGTTATGTTTTTCCAAAGCTGCCCATGAAAATCGTGTCTGCTTAGATTTGGGTCCAAGCACCCCCTACTGCCCATTCCTTTCAGTATCTTGGACCATCTTTTAACTCCTTATTCTGGCTTCATTATTTTTGAAACTAAGATCATTTTTATTTACCAGAATATGCATTCCCTTATAGTTATGAAATGTACTCTGGGTCAGTTTAACACCTGCATGGCTAAAATATATCCATTCTCTACATTATTAGCCGATACATCAATTTTGTTGACTTATTATTTAAAATAATGTCTTAAGTAAAGTTAAACTAAACTAAAACTAAAAAGGATCTTGCAGCTACCAAATTGTTTTGATTATTAAAATGACCATAAAGAATGAATCTGCAAAGAGTATTAATGCCATCTCTTAATACCTTTTAACATTTGAAAATGAAATTAAAATCTAACTTGTGTTACATTTTACAGTCAGCAATGGACAAACATGACCAAAAAGCACACTTCCTTACAACTAAACTTGTATTACTTCTGCAATCTTTTTATCTACCACACAACACCAATTTTTTTCTTGTTTTGTCATATTGTAGCCTAAATGCAACTAGGCNTTTTTTTCATTATCTTTGTTCTTTCTTAAGTATCCTTATGTTTGAAATCTAAATTTAGTGTAGGTTATCTAAAAATGCTATAAATAAGCATTCTGTTTCCCTTGCCACTCCCATTGTTGATGGTTCAGCAATTAATGGGTTTAGTGTTTGTTTGATCATGTTTGATTCTTAAAACTAATCTTGAATGACCTCAGACTCTCGTTGGGAACAGTAAAGAAAATGAAAATTCATTTATTGGAGAGTCCACATTACTAACTTTTATCTTCTATATAAATTACACTCAAAACAAGTCTCTGAAAACAGGATACCTGTTTAAATATGTGAAACATCAAAAATGCTGTACACCAAAATGTCTTTGAAGCTGGCATTTGAAAGCTGAAAGGAGGTTCTTTGTGTAGCTAATTGCTTTAATTTTAAAATATTACTTAAATTACATGTTACCTTTACAGAAGTACATAGATAATACAAGCATTGAATACAATCTATTTTCTAATTATCCATTAGACTTTGGTACAGTTGAGTCCACAGCAGTACTGGCAATTACAGTGCAATGTCTATTTTAAAAAAAGCCTATTACTGTAAACTACTTCACAAGATTTCCAAATAAAAAGTAAAACTTATAGAAAGTGTCTTTATTTGATGTAAATGGTCAGCTACTGAATTTAGGAGCAATCTAAATGTGGCTTTTCTACAAGTCCAAAACTTTCTTTAGAAAAAAGATTTCAGGACTGCCAGGTACCACTTAGAATGATGTTTCGTATAAAAGTTATAACAGAAAACTACAAAAATATTTGGAGGTTTCTGTGGTGCTATATGACTTCACATTTAAATATGTGATTAAGCAGATAGAGTGGGCACAAGAAAATTATTGTAAAAGTAAATGCAAAGGTATTGATATTACATTTTATTTGGAGCCTCTGCTCACTGTTTATCTGGTGATCTTGGTGAGATAAGGAATGGAGGCATGAACCTAACATCCTGAGATGAAGTGCCTTTCGCATTCACCGTTAGTTTATATTAAAGTTGATATCGGTAACTACATTCTGAACATCTGCGACGAGGGCTCTCTCTGCCTCCTTATCCTCCTCAACCTTTCTGCTGCCTTCGGCAGTCGACCATTCTATCTTCCTACACAGCCTTTCCTCTCAGCTCAATATTCGTGGACCTGCCCTTGCGTGGTTCAAATTCTACCTCTCCCACCATCTCCATTTTGTCGCCACTAACGGCTTCTCCTCCAGCCCCCACACCGTTATATGTGGCGTTCTTCAGGACTCTGTCCTTGGCCCTCTTCTTTTCAATATCTATATGCTCCCCCTTGGTGACATCATTCACAGACATGGGGTCAACTTCCACATGTATGCGGATAACACCCAACTCTATCTCTCTGCCTTCACCCTCTATTCCAGGACCACTGCTGTCCACACAGACTGCCTGTCGGACATCAAGTCCTAGATGAGAGCTAACTTCCTGCAGTTGAATATCAACAAGATCGAGGCTCTCCTGCTTGGCTCCCGTCAGCACCTCCATACCTCGTGTGCTGACAGCATCTCTCTCCATGGATGCACTCTACATCTCATGGAGCCAATACAAAACCTCAGTGTCCTGTTTGACCCTCAACTGTCCTTCATACCCCACATCTGTGCCATGACCTGCTACACCTTTCCCCACCTCCACAACATCGCTCGCTCCGCCACTGTCTCATACTGCAGGCCGCCGAGACCCTCATACACGCAATCAGAACATCCAGCAACAACAACAAATTACAAATGACACTTGTATAGCCCATTTCACATCGGAAAGATGTCCCAGGGCTCTGGACAATCGGGTTTTTAACTCGAGCTGTTTGTTGTGGTCAGAAGGGGAAGAGGGCAGGGGTGGTGGGAGGATAGCTGAAGGCACGATCGAAGAGAAAAGTCTTCAGACGGAACTTGAAGGAGGCAAGAGAGGGCTGAAGCAGACGGATTGCGGGATAGAGTTCCAGAGTGTGGGGGTAGAGATGCTGAATGCCCGACTGGCAATGGTGGGGCGGGATGTGGGGGGAACCTGAAGCAGTGTCCGCCGAGCGGAGGAGCCAACAGGCTGATATGGGCTTCTGAGGTCGGAGAGGTGGGGCAAGCAAAATCGTGGAGGGGCTTTAAAGATAAGAGCGAGGGTTTTGTACTCAAAGGCTCGACTACGCAAACTCCCTGCATGTCGGCCTCCCCAACTCCTACCTTCATAGGCTGCATATCATCCAGAACTCTGCAGCCCGTGTCCTCTCCTGCACCAGACTCCACGACCCTATCACCCCTATCCTCGCCCCACTTCACTGGCTTCCCATCACACAGAGGATACAGTTCAAGATCCTGGTCCTCACTTTCAAAGCCCTCCATGGTCTTGCTCCCCACTACCTCTGCAACCTCTTACACCCTACCAACCTACCCGCTCCCTCTGTTCAGCGGGCTCCGGCCTCCTTCAAGTCCCCTGCCTCGCCCGCCCCGCCATTGGTGGGCCTTCAGCCACTCTGACCCCACCCTCTGGAACTCCATACTACAGTCCCTCCACCTCGCCCCCCTCAAGACCCGTCTATTGCCTCCTTCAAGACTTGTCTCAAGACCCTCTCTTCGACCATACCTTCAATCACCCTCCTTTCCCCCCCCTACTCTCCAAACTCCCCGATCCTGACCCCCAGCTCGAGCCAAAAACACTGATTGTCCAGCGCCTTGTAATGTCCTCCCGATGTGAAAGGTCCTATACAAATGTAATTTTGTTGTTGCTGTGGACTGGAAAACATTTTAAATTAGTCGTTGAAAAGCTACATCCTTTAAAATTGCAGAAATATATGTATAGGTAATTAATTGGTTTCATTGTTGCCATGTACTACAGATATTTCAATAAAAAAAATTAAAATGGCTAACTATGCACAGTGAAATCTCATCAGGAATTACCAACATGAATTGATCACCCATTACTTGGTTTGGAGACTTTGTGGTAAACGTTTAGAAAATAGGTCGATCAGTCTTCGAGAGATGTTTTTATAAGAAATTTGCTGTACCAAGTATAGTTGCTAAAGTCTATAGCTCACTGGATTTTATACCAGTTTTATTTTTGTGCAAACTAATCATTTAATTTCATCTGTGCTGACAAATTTTAATATGTTTCAACATTGTCAATTGTCAGGTTTGGTTTATTAATTTAGAAACTTAAGTTTTGGTTTACTTTCAGCTCTACCAGCTGCATATGTAGTGAGTTTTGTTGGTTGTTGCCCGAACATTTGTTTATTGGAGAGAGAAAAAAATGACCAGGTCAAAACCTTGCAGTCTAGGCATGCAGATCAACAGCATTTTGAACGTCCATAGTTTCTCTTTTCACTGAGAGAGACTGCTTGGAGTTAAGAATATTACAATAAAAATGTAAACTTAAAAAGAAATGCTACATAACAAATTATTTTTGTTAAACAATTGTTTTTTCCATCTATTTGCCTGTTGCAGCCTTTCATGTCACCTCGTTATCCAGGAGGCCCCAGGCCACCACTCAGAATACCCAACCAGGTAAAACCTTAGTAATTGTATGATATTACTAAACACTGCATATTTTAGTTTCCAGCTGTTTCGTTTACTGCTGATTGCAGTGGTACATGTATTTTTCTATGTCTAAACATCTGCAACAATGATATGCTTTAAATTCTACAGTCTACTTGTAAGGAGCCATGGAATTTGTATTGGATTGGATCCAACCCAAGTTGCAGGGATGATATTGACAATGTGCAGTAAAGTCCCCCAAAACAGACTTTTAAGATAGTAAAAGAAGGAAACAAGCTTTCAGTAATTCATGCAAAAGTCAAACTTGGTTGTGTTCTAACTGCTGTTTCGTAGAATAGATAACATCAATCTGTATGGTTATACAGTTTCACCCATCTGTTTCTAAGTCATTGCAACCAGTATAGAAAATAGTGCACTTTAACTTTCCACAATGAAGTCTTTAAGAATTTACAATGCTGTTGAGATAAAACATAATGAAGTTAGTTATTATAATTCCAGTAGTTCATTTTGGGTACAAGTTCTTTCCTGGTTTACAGAGTAACATACTTGGACAGAAAATACCAGTTCCTAAAATGGCACAACAAAGATATCCATGTAATGTTGTTTGTTACCAAGTGTCTGCAAGTCAAAAAGAAGTACACAAACTAATTTGCAACTTTCTCAGTAAAGGGAATATTACTATAAAGGAAAGATGTATTCTCCTTGTCTTACATCTTTGTAAATGATCAAGCAAGTCTTTAGGGAAACTTTACCAAATCATGAAACTGCAGATTTAATGTTGTCTTAGTATTTTGAACTGGGTTGAAATGGTGGTGCAGTCAGTGAGATTTTGCTGAGAGCGCATTAGCATGAGATGGAAGATGTAGCCGTGAAGAAATTAATAATAAGAATTCAAATGTAGTTGTGTATAGACAAGAGTGCTATGCAGGTTCTGATTATTAAATTTAATTGAACAAACCCTTTGGCTATACATGACAGTGTTACTCTGCGAATGAACTAGATTTTGATGCACTGCTGAAAGAAGGAATGACTAACACCTGTGAGACCAATTCTGATACGAGTCATAGAAATTGGCAGTACATAGTGCAAGGAGATTACTGAGCAAAGAAAATAACTTGAATATTAATTAGTATTATAAAATAGTCAAAACTTATACAATGTGTTGATGTGAACTTGTTTATATAAGGATGAAAGTGATTCTTCATTAGTGTTTTTTACATTTGATTTCACTAGTATTAATCAGGACACTGGGATAAATTCCCTTCTCTTTTGAATATTGTCATTGGAATATTTAATATATATCTGCAGAACAAACCGATTAGAACATGGTTTAATATTTCATTTGAAAGACGATAACTCCCAACAATGCAGCACTCCCCAGTAATGCATTAGGGCTTGAAACCACAACTTTCAAATTCAGTGGCAAGCAAAATATCAATTAAACCAAGCTGACACCAATACTAGCAGGGAATAGCGTTCCATCTCAATACTTTCGGCTGAATTTTAAGACAGATCTTGGTTCTTTATGGGACATTGCTCAGTGCAAATTGGCTGTTGTATTTATCATTAAATAGTAACTACGCTTTACTGTAAATCCTGTGAAGTGCTTTGAGATATTTTGACGATATAAGATTATGATCCTTGAGGTCCTGCTTTTTAATTTAACTCTTAAATCCAGAAAAATCCCTTTTCGGAACCTGAAAGCTTCTCTGTCATTAGTTCTATGTCAGATTCCCAATTTCTGGCTGATCTCCAGCTACCCTCCAGCCTTTCATGTAGTGTATTGGTTAGAACACTCGCCTCACAAGTGAGAGGACATGGGTTCGATTTCTGGGCAGGGCGAAAACTTAGGCAAGTTTCCTTACTTCACGTGCTTCTGTTTACCGAGCAGTAAGTAGGAACCCGGTTATTAGTTGATTGGCGGATCGCTTTCTAGCAGTAATAATCCCTTCAGAAACAAATAATAATTTGGTTACTCAATGGGACTGTTTATGGGACCCTGCTGTGCGCAATTGGCTGCCGCGTTTGGCTCACAAAATATATGGTCAATTTACTTTACAGTATATTCTGTGAAGCGCTTTGAGACAATGCCATAAGGGGCTATATCAAATGCGAGGATTATTATTATGTAACACAGCATCTCCAGCTGCTCCTCAAGCTCACAAACTTTGACAAGAGCATGAGCAGTCAGAGACACTTTCTACACCTTGCAGTGATTGGGATCCATAATAATTGGTTTCATTGTGTATGCCTACAGCCAGCTGACTCACTCCCTGTGCACTGGCCGATTCCCATAGTAATAAAAAAAAGCCAACTTCCAGCCAACATCAGCCCAGCCAGCACCAACATCAATTCCTGTGCACTAAACCTGCGGGAAGCAATAATGGCCAATTTCTGAGTCATTGTATCACTGCCAATGTCACTTGCTGTGTGTTGCATATGTACTGTAAGCAGAAAGTAATGTGAGTGGTGACTTAATGACCTGGAAATTTGACATTTTAGTGCAAGAGCTGGTCGGCACATGAGAAGCCAGGAGACTGCTGTGCACATGAACGCAAACGGTATTCACATTGCAACCATGGTATAACTGAATCATGTTTTAAAGAACATTTTTATAAGTGTTCTGTAGTGTAGTGGTTAGCCACTTGCCTCTCAAATGAGAGAACCCATATTCGATTCCTGGGTGGAGTGAAAGTTTAGGCAAGTCTCTTTAATCCACACACCTCTGTTTACCTAGCAATAGGTAAGATCCTGGTTGTTAGTTGATTGGAGGATTGCTTTCCAGGGGTAATAATCCCTCCCCCCCCCACCCCCCAAAAAAACCTCAAATGACTCAATCCACAACTGTTTGTGGGAGACTGCTGTGTGCAATTGGCTGCCACGTTTCACCCACAAAATACAGTCAATTCACTTTGCAATATATTCTGTGATGCGTCTCAACGATGCAAAAGGCGCTATATCAAATGCAAGTATTATTATTATCTATTATTATAATGGAGTTAACTAAGGTTCAAGAAACAAAAACTCAACAGATAAATGACCTTCCAGAGAGTTGGTCTAAAATGTCACATATATCCAAATCCACTTTTAACAATCGAAAGCAGTGCTGGGATTATAATGCATTGTTAGATTTTTGGGTGAGATGTTAAACTGAGGATTCGCCTACCTGTTCAGGTGAATGTTAATAATCTCATGGTATCATTCGAAAAGAGAAGGGAATTTTTCCCAGTGTCCTTGCCAACAATTCTCTAAATAAAATTGGTCATTTCTCTTCATGGCTGGTTGCTGATCTTTTTTCAGAATAAGTTTGCAGTTACTAGTAACCCTGGGAACCACTGCATATGACTGCCCCACTACATTCCAGTGCACAAAATCTTATCATGAGCAATAATGCAAGATGTAAAATTGCTGAATAGTGAAAAATGACATGAAACAGCATTTACATTAGCACAGTTTTACACGGTTGCAATAAGCATAAACCAGATCTAATGTCCATTATTATGATATCTCTTTGGTTGGAGAATATAGATATAAAGTATGTCATTGAGAATGTAATAGACTTCAGTTATAAGAAACTGCTGTATTTGATGTGAGCATACTGTATCAGCATAAGAGTCTTAACTTGTTTGTAACAAAGTTGAAGGTTGCAGTCACAACAAATATTAAACTGTAAAAGTATACCTTTAGCTCAGCTAGTTTCTTTTTCCTCTCCCCTTCCCTACCAGCCACTTGGAGGAGTCCCAGGAACACAACCTTTGCTTCCCAGTGGAATAGATCCAACACGACAACAAGGTAACTATTTCCTGTGTTGTATAATACTCACGAGAAGAAGTATAAGTTTCAGAGACACAGTATATTTGTTCTTCAATTAAATAGAATCTACAGCATCAAAGCTGGCCATTCAGCCCAGGTAGTCTGTGTTGGTATCGATCCTCCAAATGAATCTCTATTCATTCTAATTCTCCCTTTCCTCGCTTCCCCCCCCCAGCCCCATCTATCGCTCTATTCCCATCTAATTTATGTATGCATCAAGTTTCCTCTTAAATATTTTTATGTTTTTTGTTTTGACCACAACAGTGAGGTTCACATTCTTAACACACTCTGTGCATAAAGAAGGCCCTCCCAAACTCTCTTATACATCTGTGAGTGGATATCATATATTATCCCATTTTGTTATGAACTCCCAACAAATGGACACAGTATACAAATGTAAATTGTTGTTGTTTATTGATGTTTGCTTACCTTATCAAAACCTTTCATAATTTTAAAAATCTTTATCAGGTCCCCTCTCTTTGGCTCATCCCCTGGGAAAACGCGTTCCAACCTGTCCAGTCTATCCTGATAATTGCATCCACTCATCCCTGATAACATGAAATTGCAAAGAAGTAAATTTAAAACTTAGCTTAACCTGTTTGTTGTTGTTGTTGTTGTAGTTGCTGGAGCTAGGAGAAGGAGAGGGGTAGAAATTAAAAACCAAAAAGAGCCATAGATTTGGGATGATCTGACAGCCTTTACAGGATATTTAATATATATTCAATTTTTTTATACTGAAGATTTATCATAACATGAATTGAATGTAATATGAACTTCAGTTTTGGTGCTGATATCTCGAAGAAACCTTTGTAATCTTCATAGGATTTATTTACATTTGTAACATCGTGTCAATACAGGGCATCCAAACATGGGTGGGCCGATGCAGAGAATGACTCCTCCACGAGGGATGGTTCCTCCTTTAGGACCACAGGTAATTAGTAACTGTTTTTACATTGCTAGTTATGTACCTCTCTACAACTAAAGGTCATAAATTCATTGTTTGGAATGCATTACATTCATTCTTAATTTGCCAAGTTATTCTTGGATATAGAACTAAAAATGGTTTTGCATGCAATTCATTTTAATATAGGTATGAAGGTTAAGTTTCTTCTGAACTTTCAGTAGTGTTCTTGTTGAAAACATAGGCCTCTGTCCTTCTAGCATTTTACTCGGGAAATCATTAACCTACTTTCCTTTTTTCCCCCCCTCCCCCTCCCCCTCCTCTTTGGTTTTTCTTTTTTTTATGGTAGTCTGACCCTTGGTTATCATTGCAGAGTTACGGAGGAGGAATGAGGCCCCCGCTGAATGCTTTAGGTGGCCCAGGCATGCCTGGCATGAACATGTAAGTACATAGAGTACTGTTGCATCTAGCGTTTGAGGGAGAGAAACAAAACATTAACTAAGAAATGGAGCATAGAAAGAAATGAGCCAGAAAAAAGTCTTTGATTTATGTCCGTTTTTGTGCAAAGCTATATCAGTTCATTTAGCTGCTTATTCCAAAATGCAATCGCTATATGACTGTTATTGTTCATAAATACAGCAACAATAGATAGGTTCAAGATGATATCTTTTCTGACTTAGATTTTCTATCAGTGCAGTAATTTATACATTTTAATATGCAAATGCTTGTTTCAGATTGATTGAGAGTGCTAATCTGACCAGACGCTGATTGCAGTTTGTCCCAAGTTGATTATAAACAATGGAGTGTGTTGCAATCTTTTTGTTCAGTCGAACATTTCAAGATTTATTATCCGACTCATATAGGTTTTTAAGTTTACTTTTGTAGATAAAGTGTAGACCTACAGTTGTTCTAAATTGTGTGCAATTGATTAATGTCAAGTTTGATGTTGCAGCTTTCGGTTTTATAATTACTTGTACATTAAGAATTAAATGTACCTCTTGAATCTGGTATCCTTTATATTGCATCGCCTGCCATCATGAACTAAGGCAGTTGACCTCTTTGCAAGTCTCAGAGAATTATTTTCGGGGAGGGAGAGAAACAGTAAAAGGTGCTCATTCACCTATGTCTAGATAAGAGTCAAGGAGGCACCCAGCAGCTTTTATTCGGGTGTGATACTGCACCAATAGCGAGCTAAGAACCTACAAATCTCTCAGATGTATGGAATGCAAGTGTACACCTCTGATTTCGACCACATTAGAACCTGCAACTACAGAAGATTGAAGCATGTCCTACCACTGCATTACCAAGGAGCTGTGTCACCGCAGTTTAAAACATTTTTATGTAATAGCTCTGATCAAAGAAACTCCATGAAATTGACAAAAAGGTAAACTGAAAAACTGGTAAACAGATCTCACATTTCAAGAAGACAGTGGAGAAAGCAACTTGTTAAAAATGTTGCTGATGTTCTATCAGAAATAACTAAACTAAATACATTGGTTAGTTTACTGCTAATTTGTTGTTTGATTGTCATTCCCTTTTGCTGTATTGTGAAGTTAGTCACACATGAATCAAACTTAAACTTCTGTTGATCATGTTCTTTAATGCATAGTTCAATTTCAAATACAAGAAATGACGTGACCACATTCTTGATATGAGCAACCACAGCCGAGCTTGGGGTTGAATTGAATTCAATAAAATTAAATGCTGTTTTGCAAACGATACTGGAGATACAGGTCCACACATCTCTGCACCTGATTGGCCAAAATCTGTTTGTACTATTCAAACTTACCTGCAGACAGTATGACAATTTTTTGTGAACATACTCAATTGTAAATTTGTCCTTAAAGCAATGCATTGATGTGGTGATAATGTTTGAGAACTGCTTGCTTGTTCAACACCTGAGAAGATGAGAATAATACATGCAAAATAGCATGAATTTGCACTAGGGAAAGGATTAAGGCTGTCGTACCCACTGAGACAGTAGCGTTTTGTTTCTCAGTGGCATAGATTGCTTGTTGGTGGAGTGCCAAGACTTGTTTGGTTGTTTGAATTAAAATCCCATCTGTCACTGTTTGTTGCAGAGGTCCTGGAGGCGGTCGACCATGGCCAAATCCACCAAATGCCAACTCGGTAAGCTTACCTCAATTTGCTAATAACTATTGTTGGTCTTGATAAATTGAACTCTTCTGGAAGGGATATTCAATGGAAATGTGATCCTCACATGGCAAGAAAGAAACCTGTAGCCCTTAAAAAAAATTAAATGGTCTACACTGAAACGAGCATTCAAATATGATTCCCCATGTTGTATAAACCTTTCAATAATAATTACAGTAATTGTTCATCAGAGCTTTGCATGAACATGCTCTTGCTACGTTCACCCATATTAGCAAGAAAGTGCATTGTAATCTGAACTGTACCTTTTAATGGGATTTTTCCTTTTAATTTTTCAGCAACAATATTTTTAGGAGCTGACCACCTGACTAAAAGCGCAATAACTTGCTAACTTTTCAATTTGCAAATAACTATTGTTGGTCTTGAAAAATTAAACTCTTCTGGAAGGGATATTCAGAGTTTAGAGAATAAAGAATTCAGAGAATATTTTCACATTCAGTTATTTGGGTAAATAAAACCCTTCAATATTGCTTCTTTACCTTTCCACTATTTAGCGCTTCTTGACATTATTCCTATAATGACACTGAACAAGATGATGAGATTAAGGATGACGGCAGATTATTTTGCAAACATAATTAGATGCAAAAATGCTGTTTTCACATTGTATTATTGCATGTGAATTCCTTCATAAAGTAATTGGTGAAATTTCCATTTTTAATCATATGGTCAGCCCTAAGAAACTGATGTTTTACATTTCCAAGCACATATTTAATAGAGGAGCTACATGAGTGTGCACATCAACAGAGATTACTAACTGGTTGTCAACTGAGGTTTGCTCTTGCATCCTATTAGTGATCATTTGTTATTTGTTTATACTACACTTTTTTTCTACAGTCACTTCCCAATCTGTGCATAAGATTTATGAATTATTATTTGATTTAAGTAATACTCCAAATAGAGTTGGGGCCTCCAAGACCAAATGCTAAACCTAACATCAATCTATAAAACTCCAGGTTAATTGCCTGAATGGCAAGAAATTACTTCTTTTACCAAAACATCAATAAATAATACATATTATTTTATTTCCGGCTAAATTTAAGCGACCTTGAATAAATGCTAAGATGTGTTCTATGATTGTGAATTACTTGTTCACAATTTCTTAAGGATTTAGGTTTAATCTGTCAAAACTGAAAGAGAAAAAAGGGACTCTAGACAGTTATTTTTTGTTACAGATACCATACTCTTCAGCATCTCCTGGAAACTATGTGGTGAGTGGCATTTTATTCTCTGTTAGGAATGATTCTGTTCTCTTCAACTGTGGAATAGTCGGCCAGATGTTGACTACAGTGTCAAGTGTATTGGCTGAGAAATGAACATCTGATTTTGTGTTTGGTTGTTTTGTCTGGCAACTGTAGTGCATATGTTGATGTTCATTAGTAGATCGGTAATCAGTCTGGTCAAAATTGCCCTGAGTACAGTTTGCAACAGCATATGGTGCTGCAGCAAATTGTCTTCCACAATAAACGAGAAAAAACAACATATTGCTGGCAACAGGCTTTTCCGTGTTTAAAATCAAGTCAAGTCAGAAAGGCTCAAATGAAGAAAATTAATTTGCCAAGCTCCCAGAAAGCTATTAGCACAATAGTTAGTATTCTGTTTGTGGGTGAATTGGCAGCCACTGCTGCTGCATTCAGGCTGGTCATTAAAAGTTTTACCCAGACGTGATAGATCTGTCAACTTCATCAGGTGCAAGGTACAACTGCAGTAAGCAATCTAGTGGAAAATCCTCTAGTAAATGCCAGCTAACATTGGAGTTCCTGGAGTTTGGGGGAAAAGGGGGTGTAATTGCAGTTTGTGTTAACCATGTGTAAATGCACATGAACAGATGGAATTACAGGTGGCTGAAACTATGTAATTAAAGTGATGGTTTTATTGATTGTCAATGACTTAATTAAGGGCAGCTGTGTAAATGTGTTCTTTACACAAGGTTAACACAACCATGCAAATTAGACTCCATTACAGGGTAAGAAACAGTCGGTGCCCAGGGAGGGGTGAGGAAGAGAGGGTCCTAAATAGAAAATTGGATCAAAATAAAAAAAAGTGAGAAAACTCCTTAATGGCAACCTACTGTGTACTGTAGCTTCTGGGTCAGTCTCAACAAAGGTGAACTGCATGCTTCCACCAGCCATTGACCTAGTGATCAAATTAATTCTATGGATGATTTTTTTTATTGGGACCTGAGTCGGGGTTAGTAATTTAATGTACAGACTTTGAAGGAAGCTGTCAGGTTTATGCGATTTCAGTGCATGTCAAATTCTCTTAATTGGGACCTTATTTTAGATTTATTGAAGCCAGCACAGTTTTTTGTAGACTTCAATGTATTTACAATTCATTGTGTTATACTGTATCCAGAGAATACCAAAAGATAATTAACTAGAATTTAAAAACTGCATTGTATATAAATTGGTGGAAACAAAAAAAACTAAAATATATTCTCATGTGAATTTTATGTGACAAGTTTGTGTTGTATATCCTTTCGCTCAAATGGATTTAAATGATACATCATGAGCCAAATAAGCTATTACTTTGAAAACCATGTGTAATTGGAGTGAATAACCTGGCCTCAGTTTAATAATGTTTTAGGCTAATATGTTATGAACTGACCCTGGTCCATCAAATGTTGACTCAGTTCTGAAATTCTAAATTTAATGAGTCACAGAGTCTAAAGCTCAGCTGAATATTAGACTGTGGTTTATGACGTACGGTGCTATAGTAACTGAGCTTGCCTGAAAACATTCACGAGTTAAATGTTCCCCTTTTTAAAAAAATCTGATCTAATTAATTATTCAAACTGGACACAGTTGGATAAATCTTTCAAAGTCTCCCATTTTTTGGTTGTGCTCAAACTTACTGCTTTTATATTATGGTTCCAGAAACACATGATATTATTGTTCATCCAAACTGTTAAATTGCTTGTGCACTTCCAGAGAGCACTTGTGACAACATTTTCTTTTGTTTTCTCTGAAACCCAACTATTGGAAGTGGCCATGGAAGGGACCTGGATAACGGGCAATCTTGAGTCGGATCTCCTTTTTGCAGACATAGTGAGAATTCAGACTTGAAGCAAAATTGTCTCTAATGGTACTTCTGGAAAACAATCCATTTTACATTACAAATTGCCTCTAGAGGCAGGCTTGCAGTGGCCATTAACCCTTTAAAAAGATCATAAAACAGACTGCTCTATTAACATAAGAAAACCTTGAATGAGAAAAGACCATCAAAAGTATTCTCCGGAAACTTCAGAATATCAATCTAACCTTACACCCTACATTATTCAACCTTGACTGGTTGGTTTGTAAGTGACATTTCCATGACCCCAGCAGCACAGGAACGGTTGTATTTCAATGAAGTATTAAATCATCTGTCTACTGTCCCCCATAACTTTTAATTCCCCTCCTCAAAAGATTTGTTTTTGTTTTGAAAAGGATTTAATCAACACCACCACTTTTGCCAAACTGATATCAAATTTAAATTTTGATTTCTCTCCGAGCTATAGTGTGGACAAAGCCATAACAATAGCATGATTTGCTTCCTTAAGAAAACAGGTTAGGAAATACGAGCAATATCTGGTGCAAAGCAACGCTGCTCAATTCACCTCAAATGTGTATTTAACCTTTATAACTTTCCATGGTTGTTCAAGGTACAGCATTGAAATGATTGTTTCAGTGAATTATAAGGCTATTTTTATGTATTCTGTCAATATCAGTGGTGCTTAAGATGGCCTATGTTGTGATTTTTAGGTTGGTTTGTTATGGGGTGACTCTAGCCCCATGAAACATGAACTTAGATCTGACCAGCCTAAATTTAATGACCCAGACTCAAGATCACAGATGAAAATCTGGCTCAATGCCATATTTTTAACAGCTGGTGATTTGTGTTTACAAATGTATCATTTTAATCATTTTAAAAGCAATGTTCCGAAAAGCTTTTTTTAAAAATGTTTGTGGCACAAGCTTTGTACTTCATTAGCTTGATATTTTGAAGTAGATAAGTGCAAAGATGTTTTTATTTGGGATGCAAAGTGCTTCTTCAAACCACAAAGTAAATATTAATGGGGCCATTTGCATGCATTACCTACATCCAACATGCTTTGATACTTGGTCACTGAGGAGTAAAGGGTTTCAAATGGGATAATAAAGAGAAGGTAATTTATTCCCTGGTTTTCCTGGGACCAGCACCAAAACTATTGTAATAGTTTATTGTTAAATATTACTGAGTTTGAGACTAAGGACCTGCTTTATCTGAACCTATAGTATGCACATCTAACTGTACTTCACCTGAGAGTGCTTGATTTTGGCATGGAGTGAGCAAACTTGGAAGAGTTTTCTTTCTTAACACTAATATAATTTACTACACAAAAATAAGTACAAAAATCACAGAAATTAAAATGCACAAGCAACTCCAAAGGATTTGGAGAACAACACAAATTTGAATTTCTACACCATTGAACAGTAAAGAGAAACTAACCAACCGTACTCTCATTCAAGCAAGATGATGCACAGTTTTTTTAAATAATGAAGGAATTAATGCGGAAATGTTTTTTTTCAGGATAGGAGAAATGTTTGGCTAAGGGAATAAGCTTAAAGAACAATAATTTTGTTTTAACAAATAACTTAAAGTCATTAATTTAGAGATCAGACTGCTACCAAATGTTGTAAATACTGACTCAATTGCAGTATTGAAAGAGGAATGGGATCAATTTCTTGATTCCCTAGGGAATAAGGAAATATGGATTTCAAATAGGATTTTTTCTTTTAGAAAGGTCAGGCAAATGAGATGGAATGAATGACCTTTTCACCTTTTTGATTTTCTTACATTGGCACACTTATAATTACAAGAGAGCCTTGTAAATCCATAAATATATGGTACAAAAATGGTGAGTATAGCACTGGTAGGGACCCAGGTTTTTCGCTGGGTCCCTCACGTTGACTATTCACAATCTCAGCAATGCTACAGTAAACAGTGGGCAAACAGTGCAGCCTTAAGATTCTATGATAAAGGACTGGACAAGTTTCTGGAAATGAAAAGGATTCAGGCTTATTTAATGATGAGATCACTATGTCATAGGAGTCACTTGGTAATTAGATGAGTAGACTAGATAGACAAGTGATCTACATCTACCTGAAACTGTTACAGTGAGGTAAAAAATATGCCACAGTAATCATCACATTGACATAAATTGTCAGTCAAGAATTCTATAAAACTAAGGATTCCAATTTCCTTAATTTATGGCTTTATTTCCCTGCACTGCCATCTTTAATGTCACATATCTGTACAATAAGGTCCCTCTGCTCCATTTAAAGTCTTATCTTTTAAGGTATATTTCCTTCCCTATTGTCACCAAAATAAGAACCTTACGTTTTCCCCTATTTAACTATATCAGCCACCAACCACCACTTTGCTAAGTTATCTTACTTGCTAAGTGCTCCACTGGACTTTCACAATTCTTGTGAGAATTTGCCTCTGTTTGGTCTCGTTAGCAAGTTTCAATATTGTACCTTAAATTCCGAACGGTCATGTTAAAGTTGATCTTTAAGTTACATTTTTGAGAAACATATTTTGAGGTAAAGCAAACTATTAAAACAGGGATTTTTTAAAAAAAGAGAAAAAGCAACTTTTAATTCTTACTATATTCCATTCCAAGAAGCAGAAAATGAAAGGTGAATTCACAAACGACAACAACCTCTCTGCTGATCATATTGGTTAGCCTTTTTCCATCAACCTCAGTAACTGCTATTGGCACTGCTTTGGTGGAAGAATGGGCAGAATCAAAGTAGAACACATTTTGAATCTATTCACAACTTGACTGCACGTCTTAATTTACCCAGGAAAAATACACCCAGTCACACCACTTACACTATGTCCTGTATAATGCTTTGAGATGTCTCTGTGGATAAGTGAAGATGGACCCGACCATCACTTTTTTCCCCTTGCAGTCCAGTTGGGAATGTAGCTGGACTACCAAGGCCGCCACGGAGGGCTGTCTCAATTCTGACTATCTGTTGCCAAACATGTCACTTTGGAGCCAGTTCAGCTCCAAGGAGGACCCACTTACTCCTCCCACTCCTCCCCCAAGGAGGATTGTCATTAGTTGGTCGTTTGATATCCGATAAGTGCGGGATTGAGCTCTCACTAGGTGGATGGTAGGTACCAGGAACTCCCTGCGAGTTTCCCGATGGGCAACATCGGTTAGCATGAAATGTGAGAGCGTTGCCATGATCTTCCTGTCCGCAGCTCAAAAGATGGTCAGGAGGATGTCTCAAAAATGTTTTAAATGCTTTACAGAGTATACTTTGTAGTTTAGTGACTGCATAATGTGTAGATGAACTTGGCTATCAATTTTGTGCACAGTAATATCCTATAAACAGTCATGAAGTGATTGACCAATTTTATTTGGGTTTGTTGGCCAGGACATCAGAAACTCCCTTCTCTTTTCAAATAGTTCCATGGAATTTTAACATCCATCTGAACAGACAGATGGTAATTGAGGGGTATGGGGGAAGAGAGAGAGAGAGAGAGCACTGTTTGATATTGTTTTACTTCAAAACCAGTCAGGTGGACCACATTGTATTTTTCCTGAATCTGTACATTCCAATTTAAGAATAACTAAATTGTGAAACTTGCAAATCCCACGATTGAAATGCTATTGTACCTTGTGATTCATACTGCAGTAGTAATAGGTTTTATTCCACAACATTTTACAGAAGAATATCATGCCCAGAATATGACTGTCATTCTATCATTGATAATGTATCAAGCCATGAGAATGAAGCTTAAGAGATTTATAAGTATCAGCAGAACCTCAAGATTGAATAAGTCCTTTGCTGGTTCCCTAGTATGTATTTTACATGCTGACATTTAAAGTAGACATAGAATGAAAAACTATATTTTTCTACTCGCTGTATAATTATGCAGCGATGTTATAAACACAGCTTAGCCCATTTTTTTCACCTCTCTCCCTCCCTCCCTACCTCTCTTTCTCTGCCTGTTACTAATATTACTTTATGGACCCCATAGAATTTCATTTGTAATAATAATAATCCTTGCATTTGATATAGTTCCTTATCATGTCTTCGATTTGTACATCATAATGAGGATTCCTGCAAGGTTATGTTTAAAATATTGCTCCAATATAGATATATATGGATATATAGTATATTAGATAAGTAGGATTTGGGTTTACATTTTAATAAAATATATTATTTTGATTAACCTTTATAAATGTTGGATCAGTTGAAAGGTATTTGTGATCATCGCCAGAACTTGATCAGTTAACATGGACATGAACTCAAAGATGATTATAGTTATTTTGTTGAGCAGGTTATCTCCTGTGGAATGTACTAATTTATAATGAATATTGTTTTATAGGGACCCCCTGGAGGTGGAGGACCCCCAGGAACCCCCATCATGCCTAGCCCAGGAGGTAAAGAAAATGTTTGTTCTTTAGTGCATTCTTGTCTCATTTGACGTTCCTGTTCTGAGATATTGCAAGATTCACTGCATGATAAATAATGTATGTATTATCTACTGCCTGCAGTGTCATATACCAGAACACTTGGAAATTTCTGCCTGTATTGCAAGGGCTCAGCGGACAGTTCATGATAAAATTGAGTTGCTTTAGTTTGAGTATGTAACAAATTATAACATCACTGGAAGTTTGAGGACTATGTACTTTTTCATTTTGTGTGTGTTATTTATTTGGACATGCAGGAATCTTGTCAGGAAGGTATAAATCTCTTGTTTTGTTTGAGATGTGCCTCTACTTTCTGTACAGTGTATTTTAGAATATGGCATTAGAAGCTCACAACTTGCAGCACATGATTCAGGACTGCAATAATAATTTATTTATGAGACTTTTCAAGCTATTCCAAACCTCATGCTGGGTGGAGAAACACCTGGACTTGACATAACGTTTGAGAAAATGCTAGACTAATCTGCTTGGAAATGTTCCCAATGAACCTTGTTTGCCTTCTTATTACAGGCAAGCACTGGGCAGTTTCTTAGAATTGTCTGAAATAATGGATCCACATGTGGTCTCCCTTTTCTGGAATCTATGATTCTGTCGTTTATTTAATTCTGCTTTGCAAATGTTAAACCCCTATATATCCACTTGATGGACTGAACTGCCTTTTCTGATTTCATGCATTCTTAAGTTCTTGAGAGCAGCCTGAGAGATATGAGAAAGTGTCAGTCTCAGTACTTCCCTGGAGCAGCACAGCTGAGATCAGATCAGCATGGATTACAGTACCCTCACAGTCGCATTCTCATCTTGTCCTTTTGTCAAACTCTTGTTTTCTCCTCTGAGGCTATACCCATGTCCCCCAAACCACCATTGTGACTCTCTGACTCCATCACAGCCTTCTTCCCTGAGGCCACTGTCTTTTCCATTTGGAATTCTAGTTATACTACTGAGGCCATCTCCTCAGTATATTAGTACCTCTGCCATACAAATAATACTGATATGAAAAGACAATTGAGACTGCTTTAAATTTGATGGCCTTGACAAATTAAATATTTATCATCCAGTGTTCTTGAACTGAACAATAATAACAATCCTTGCCTTCGATATATCACTTTGACTTAACGTTAAAATCTCTCAAAGAACTTCACAAGATTTCTTTTTTATTGTAAAGTGTAGTGACTGTGTTTGTAGGCGAAACCCACCAATGGAAAATGACCTCTGCTTAAATGACTCCTCTTTATTGAACCAGATGATGCTCAGTGGTGCAGCTGATACAAATGAAAACCATGTTCATTACCAGGGAGATGCATTTTCATTGAGGCTTGTGGCCAATCTTGCAGAAAGAAATGTTTACACCTTTGTACTTTAACTTAATTTGTCAATGTTATAATGTTGATGTGATATGCATCCACAGATCTGCCATTGAATGCTAAGGTGGCACTTCTGTAACCTAATTAGCGCTTATTTTAATGGGCACTTATTGTGATAGACTTCCCTCATTCGACAAAAGCTTCTATTGAAAAGCAGTATGCTTAGAATTATCTATAATATTAAAATCTTTAATAAGAAATGTGTACCCAATTTCTAAAACATAGAATGTGCTGAAGCAAATGTTCTTCAATGTTTTAGAAATGTACTGATTTAACATTTTTTATTAAGAAATCTGTTGGATGGCACTCACTAGATCCCATCTGCCTTCTTGAAAGCTTTGCCTCCTTTTTTGCTTTTTTTTAAACCAGCTTGATCAATCAGATCGATGTATTTTCAAGACCAAGTATCTTACAGAGACTAAGCTACTAAGGTTGGAATTAAGGTTACGAGACAACTTTTATTGATCTAAAAACACCAATACTAGGAAGCAAATATACTTCCAAGAGGTCCAGTTAGCTGACCTCCTAGTGAATGCTAGCGTCCTTGTTTCACTTAGCAAATGAATTACTTACGTGGCTCCATAGCAAAATTATTGCCAAAAATTATCTTAAAATAATTTTGATTTGATTTTAAAATGCATAGTACATTAAGGTAAGCGTTGTTAATGTCATTGGTTGTTTGAGTTTACTTCTTTAAATACATGAAATCTAACAATCTTTAGAGCAATGTGTTTTCTGACATTAAATACACTTGAAAATAACCCCCCAAAAGTATACTGTACGAAAAGAGAATAGGTTGATTTTGGAGACATCTACTGAGGAGGTTAAAGCTGTCTATTCTATTTGTGCTTGTGAAGTTCAGTCATGGTAATCTAGGAAGGTTTTCTGTATCCAAAATCAATTTTCCTGAAACATTTAGTTAAATCTCTAGAGAAGCCAAAGATATTTAATCCTGTAGATAGATTAAAAATATAGGCCATCTCCACAAACCCAAGTTGATTTTGGTCTATTTGATCAGTTAATATAGATGGTCTGTGTGTGATGGAACAATAGACTTTTCTCACTGGTTTCAAGACAGAGTTGTTGTACTTTTGAGTGGGTTCAGTGGTTGAGTGGGAGGCAGGGTTCATTTTGGTCAGTTAATTTTTGCAGTCAGAAATTCCACCAAACCTGTGCTACAGACTCCCTGGAATTATTCAACTATAGATTTTCTATTTTAGACAAATTTCATATTTGTGACCCATAGCAGAAGTATCACTTTGCTTTAACGGAACTCCAGCATTAGGAAAAGAAGCAGTGAAAATGTGAGATAAGGCTCTTCAAAGGGCTTTTAAAGAAGGATAATCTATTGTTGAGTTTAGACAAGCAAATTCAAATATTTCCAAAGGCCAGACTAGCTGAGGATTCTGTTGGATCTTCTTCACTCTCCCTGTTTTTCATGAGCCATGCACATCCTGTCCCCAAGAGAATGGGTACCTTCTCCTGGACCTTAAACAACTCCACTATGAGCTATCTGCTTGAAGCTGTGTAAAAAGTGACAACTCTCATTTTTGCTTTGCATTCCATACCTCCCAGCAGATTCCTAGTGTCTGGTTAGTTGAGATTAAGAACCAGAGTTTGCTCTTCTTGATTCTCAAAATAGTTTCGTTATAAGAGTCAAGTCAGAAGACAGTTAGTATTTTCTAATAATAGCAATAATTTTTGCATTTGATAGAGCACCTTTTATGTTGGAAGGACATTTAAAAACACTAAATATAGTGACTGTATTTTGTAGGCTACCAGCTACAAAATGACTAATAGTGGAGACACAATCTACAAAATCCTAGTTATGTGAAAAGTCACTATAGCTTTTAGAATTGATACCCTTGGAAAAAATAATCATAACATTTTGTTTCCTTCTGTGATCTATCTTCATATTTCATTTTATTTTTGAATATAGCTTTGAATTCAGTGTTAGAATTCTGATACAGAAGTGAACCTTTTTTAATGCATGTCTTGTGTTTTCAAGAAATCCTTAAATTGTTTATAACAAGCATGAGAATTTTCATAGCTTACCTGCTCAATAAATTGTCTTTAAATGTGTCATGTTTGGGAAGATAAAACTTCTCTTTCGAGTTATTTTATTTTCTCTTTCACTCCTCTCATTCTTCTGTGATCCATCTATACCGGATGACCCTGTTAGTATAGTAGAACATGGTTCACATAGAGCTCAGGTCAACTGTAAATCCCATTACACTTGACTGGCTGTCTCCCTTCGTTGCATGTTGCGTGCTTGCGCAGGAAACAACTGAAGTTGTTGTTGAAGTCGCTTCCTGTACACCATGTACGTGATGAGCTGCGGGTGTCACTTCATGCAGGAAGTAACGTCATTACAGCTACATGCACACAGTTCACGTGGGTGCAGAAGTGACATCAGACAACGTGATAACCCAGAAGTCAGACTTTTTTGATCTTGGTCACAATGTAGCCTTTGAGATATTGGATCCAGATGATCATGTTATTAAAGAGTTGCACAGGTTTCCACAAATGCTGAATCTCATGCCAAGGGCTGTGAAAGTGTATTCCATGATATGATTCCCACCAATTTGTAGTTTTTCCTCCCCTTCTTTCCCCATTACACACACAAAGGGAAGCACCTGGCATCAACTTACTCCCTTGGTACATTGAAAACTCGTTGCAGGTGTATGCACACATTCCACCACTCTGTGGTACTGTGTCTTGGTTTTCCTTGATTCCTGAACCATGATTATTATTGATGAGTATTGAATATAGCAGATTTAGAAATGTTGACTACAAATTAATAAACTTAACCCTAAAGCTTATACACATTTAATTGAACATTGAGTAAATACAGCTGTAATGTTTGGCTCTCAAACAATAGAGTGAGCATTCATGTTTGCACAAGCTTAAAACCAACCCAGTGATGCTGGGAGATATCTGTTACATATTTAATCATGATGTATTTAAATTAAGTCATAATAATTTGACTAGTTGTGAAGTGACAATGCTCAGGAGTGCAATATTTTTCAAGAAGTGTACTAATTTAATTGAGCACCCTCAATTTGAACCATATGTTATTGATTTTAGTTTATTCCACATGTTTAAAAAACAGCATTGAACATATGAGAAGGATTTAGTGGAAAGGAAGATCGCTTTAATGAGTAAACTATTCCTGCTGTGTTCAGTGATGCCATCTGCATTTTATTTCAATAGATGAATTACATAGTAGAATAACAGAATTTTAATCAATGTGATAAGTAGAAGATGTAGGGTATAACATATACATCGATATCCTTATTGACATTTGCATTTCTTAATACAATCATTTGCCAATGCCTAATATTGTTCACTTTAGATATAATTTATTGGCTTGTTTTGTAAGAGAATAAGTACTGGAATAGTTTGATGAAAATTTAAAGTAGCAAGTGTAACTGATGTGTGTACCATCCTTGTGTAATGTGTTACACTATCTAACTCACATATATACACTGCCTTTATAATAATAATAATAATAATCCTTGCATTTGATATAGCGCTTTTCACGTCGGGAGGACGTCCCAAAGCGCTTCACAGAATATACTGTAAAGTGAGTTGACTGTATATTTGTGGGCGAACGCGGCAGCCAATTGCGCACAGCAATGTCCCACAAACAGTCATAGATTGAAAATGACCAATTTAATTATTGTTTTTGTTTTTTGGAGGGATTATTATTAGGCGTGTGGAGTAAGGAAACTTGCCCAAGGTTTCGCCCTGACCTGCCTGGAAATGAACTCAGGTCTCTTGCTTGCAAAGCGAGTGCTCTAACCACTGAGCTACAGGACTCCACAATGGGACTTTCACATTGGGAGGATGTCTCAAAGTGCTTAACACATTAAGCTCCCAAAATCTTCCTTTTGTTATAACACCTAGAAATTTGATTTTTAGAAATATTGGTTAATTGTTAGTGAAGAAAAACAGCCAGGAAAAAATGTGTTGGAAGTGTCAAGATGAACTTTTACCTAAATAAATAAATAAATGGGAATGCCAAACAGTAATTGTAGCAAATATTGTGGTGCTTCAAGGGTTAATTGAATTATTTAAAGTAGCTCCTATCTAACTGTTCTACTTAATAGGTTTAATTTTGTCTAAAGGTTATGCTTATGCAGACATATCAGTGAAGTTTTATGGAAATCATCCCATGTGTCCATATTTATTGCCCAAACACCAGTTCCTTGGCTTAGCATCAATTAACTAGGAATCCCTGAGGAATAGACTTACAAAAAAAGGAAAAAGAGTGTCCTTATCCATTAGTTTTTGACCAATCTCGGGGAAGGAAGTGCTTTTAATTTCTCTGTTCTACCTTCAGGGGTGGATATGGAATAACCCCTTGCCTCAAAATGACTACAGTTTTAATGAGAATATAGGAAATTTGAAAGGCAAGAAAAGCCATTTGGTCCAAAAAAAACACCCTCCTTTATTTGCTCTCAAGTACCAACTTCCTACTTATCAAACATATCCATTATTTCTTCTATTTTCCAAAAACACATCCATTATTCCCCTCTTTTTCCAAAAACATCTCTTGACCTAGTTGTACTATTTCCTTAGAGGCCTTCTCTAGTAACGTATTCCATATGTCAGTTACCCTTTGTGTAAAATTATTCCGGTTGCATTTCCTAATTTCACCTAATTTCCTGTTTTTTTTTTAATATCTCCTTTTTTCTAGCACTTCACCAGTCAGTTTCAGCAGTTTAGCCATGTTTTCCTATTCTCTTCATTTTTTGGAAACTTCTTTAAGGCCACCGCAAAGTTCCCCACTTTCCAAAAAGAATAGTTCCAACATTCTTAATATTTCTGTTAAAATTGTTATAATGAAGTACAAAGTGAGGACAGTGATGCTTCCAACACTACCTGTAGCTCAGTGGTTAGAGCACTGGCCTTGCAAGCGAGAGACCTGGGTTCGATTCCCGGCAGGGTGAAACCTTGGGCAAGTTTTCTTACTCCACACACCTAATAATAACCCCTCAAGAAAAAAAAACAATAATAAATTGGTCACTTCAATCCATGACTGTTTGCGGGACACTGCTGTGCGCAATTGGCTGCTGTGTTTTGCCCATAAATATACAGTCAATTCACTTTACAGTATATTCTGTGAAGCGCTTTGAGATGTCTAGAAGACCTGAAAAGCACTATATCAAAATGCAATGATTATTAATATTACACTTGGAGGCCTGTAGTTCAGTGGTTAGAGTACTTGCCTCGCAAGCGAGAGACCTGGGTTTGATTCCCGGGCGAAATGTGGGGCAAGTTTCCTTACTCCACACTCTGTTTACTTAGTAGTAAGTAGGAACCAGTTGTTAGTCGATTGGCAGATTGCTTTTCCGGGGGTAATAATTCATTAAAAAAAATTGATCACTTCAGTCAATGACTGTTTGTGGGACACTTCTGTGCACAATTGGCTGCCAAGTTTCGCCCACAACATATACAGTCAATTCACTTTACAGTATATTCTGTGAAGCGCTTTGAGACATCTCAAAGACATGATAAGGTTATTGTTATTATTATAAGGTGCTGTATCAAATGCAGCGATATTATACCATGCTGGGAGTGAATTTAGAGGTGTTTCCTGTGCATGGTGTTCATGCCATAGTGCAGAAAGTGACGTCAAAGGCAACCGACTACCCAGAAGTTTAGTCAGCTAAACCGCCTGCATTTATTGCATTTCCAGTATAGACCAAGCCCACAATAGACCCGTGCTGTAGCTGCTCTTAGCCATCCAATGTTCAATGAGGCAATTTCCACAGGGCCACCCCTTTGTTGTGCTGCATATTCTTCTATTGCCTTCCAGCCTCAATCAGATGAAGATAGTATTATTTTCCTGACACAAGTTTTATCCAATTGTATCAAACATATTTGTTAGAGGATTAAATGTTATTGATACAAACAAGAACTATGGAACAAAAAGATGACGTAAAGAGTCTTTGAAAGAATCTTACAGACAATCCAAAAATTGTTGAAGCCAATTACACGACTAACTGTGTTTAAAACCAGGAGCAGACTGGTCTCTCCACATTCTGGTTTAAGTAAATAATGGCATGAAGTCTTGAAATATATCTTCAGTATTCCATTGATCTCTGGTTCCTTCAAGACTACAGCAAAATTTTAAAATATTGTATTTTGGTTACTACAGATTCAACAAACTCCAGCGATAATATGTACACCATAATGAATGCAGTACCTCCTGGAGCAAACAGGTCTAATGTAAGTAGAAATATTAATCTTTAATATCAATCTACGTTACCTATTGATAATTGTTTTTCTGATGCGCTGAACCACAAAATGGTAAATTGTTGATCTATCTTGAGATCCACTTCAATCTCTATGTCACTGAGCACTGCCATTTTCTCCATGTAGAATCATCCCTGACTATCTCTCATGTATCTCCTGTGATAGATTCAGCCATAGTTAATGTAGAAGCTGGGAAATCATGAGAAAGCAAAAGGAAAAACAAATGTCTAGAAGTCTTCCTCTCAGGAACAGAAGCCAATACCTCATAAAGCCCAGATTTCAGTGAAACATTTATGGTTTCATACTTAAATCTTTCACATGCATTGGGGGAGTAATATTTCCTTCAAAGAACCAACTGAAGTTAGGTAAAATTGAAACATTAGGGACAGTACCTGAATATGTCCAGTTTGAAATTTATCGAACCTCATTAACAAAAATACAAAAAGATCTGTCCCTTCTTTATTGCAGTTCCCAATGGGACCTGGCTCAGATGGTCCAATAGGTGCAATGGGCGGAATGGAACCACACCACATGAATGGATCATTAGGTAACATAACATATGATAATAATTCTTATCTTATGTTGCAAGCTTTATGTAATTCTTGTGATTTTATGATATTTTTGAAAACTGGTTGATAGGATTGACGCGTAAAGCTCATGATAATTCTAAGTATGTTTTGGAAACTTCTTGATATGAACATTGTAATTCCACGTGAGCCTAATTCCAATCCACACACAACAGCCTTAAGTTGTCAAATCTCATTCAGTTTTAATGGGATATGCCAAGTTAAGGCAGCTGCTCACTGATTAGAATCAGCCCTCAGGTGGGTAGCAGTTCCTTTTGCTAATGTTATTATACCCCTTGGTGGGTTCTTAGTTACTGTGTGTCTGTGTACAAGAGAAAGAATTAACCTTAACAAGCTACTCAATTTGAAAATTTATGGTTATCCTCTTAATTATTGTACTTCTTAATTATGACACTTGAGCAAAAATATTTTTTCTTGGTTTCATCCCTTCTATCATCCTATTTGCTTCGCTAAACAACAGTTTGTTTATTCTTGAAAATAAAACAACGGAGGTTGAAGGACTAGAGATGCTATTTTCTGTAAGATCCTGAGTAACAGTGTGCACAGTCCTTCTTATTGTTCTTTCTGTTCTTTCTTATTGAAGTTTAGCATACTTGCCTCATTGTCAATAACATCGGGGTAGTTATATGAAATTTTATTTTGTGCAAGAAAACAAATGGATTTCAGTTTTATTTATCTTTGAAATTAATAGGATTTTGACATGCGTATACACAAAAAAAAGTGGTCCTGGTCAGGGAATGGATGTCAGGTAGAAAGGAAATCTGGGGATCGAACCTGATGCCTAAGTTGCGCGCAGGTTCGGTGAGTCTGAGGGAGAGCCCGGGGAGTTTGAGGAGTTCAGACCCACAGGAGAGAAGACGTTAACGGGAGCCAAACAGTATGACTTCCGTCTTGCCAACATTCAGCTGCAGGAAATTTGTGCACATCCAGGCTAGGATGTCTGTCAAACAAGCTGACAGAACATCAGTGGACTGGGAGTCGCAGCTGGAGGAGGAGATGTAGATTTGGGTCTCATCTGCATACATGTGGAAGTTGACCCCATGTCTGCGGATGACATAGCTGAGAGGGAACACATAGATAACGAAAAGAAGGGGTCAAAGTATGGAGCCTTGGAGTACCCCGCAGGTTACCATGTGGGTGTAGGAGGAAAAAATATTTGCTGAGATGTTGGCGGTTTGTTAAGGTGGATGAGGCAGGAGAGGCGGTGGAGGAGAATGACATAATCGACTGTGTCGAACACGGCAGAGAGGTCCAGAGCAGACAGAGGGAGCCCTCGTCAGAGAGAGAGAGAACGTCATTTGTTACATTGAGGAGTGCTGTCTCTGTGCTGTGGGTGTGGCAGAGAGAAGAAGTCAGAGGAGATGGAGCAGGGGGAATTTAGATGAAGGTTGAAATCGCCTATTATGATCAAGCATTTTGTGCAGAGGGGCAGGGCTGAGGGGAGATGTCCGCGAGGAAGGAGACAGGAGGTTGGGTGGGGGGGCGGTAAACTAGGAGAATTTTGAAGAAGAGAGGAGGAGGGATAGTAGAGGGTGAGGTGCTCAAAAGAGGGGATATCGCCAGAGAAATAGGGGGATAGACTAAGGGAGGTTTGGGAGATGAGTCTTTACAGCATACACTGTGAAGTGCTTTGAGTAGTCTCAAAGGCGCTATATTGAATGAGAGTATTATTGTTATTATTTATTATGCATTATCCTAAACCTGGTCAGGTCACCGTGGTTCTCTAAAACACCCTGCATGATGATCTACAATCAAAAATCATAAAATTACAGCACAGAAAGAAGTTCAGTTCATATTGTCTGCCTCCTTGCAAACCTGTCACATTACCCTCTCTGACTTCGTCACAACCAATGCAGCCGAAACCTTCATCTGCGCTTTTCTTACCTCCTGCCTCGATTATTCCAATGCCCTCCTCACCAGTCTCCCCAGCTCCATTGCCCAAAAAATCCAACTACTTCACCCCATGCATACTCACCTGCTTTAAACTCCATACCTGTTCTTGCCAGACTCCACTGACTCCCTATCACCTGGATCAACTTCAACATCGTCTACAAATCCCTTCCTGCCCTGTTACCCCCTACCTTTCCAATCTGCTTAACCCCCACTTCACCACCTGCCACCTCCGCTCACCTGGCTCCAACCTCCTGTTTGTCCCTCTGTCCTTTCACTCTACCATCACCGACCATGCTTTCAGCCACTATGCCCCGAAGCTGGAACGCTCTCCCTCAATCCATCCACTTGCCCATGTTCTTCCTTCCCTTTTTCAGACCTGGACCTTCCTCTTTGACTGTGCTTACATTCACCTCCTTCCTCCCATCAGGCTCCACCACTGTTAAGCACTCCAAGATGCTACCCCACATGAAAGGCGATATATAAATGCAAGTTGTTGTTGGTGCTGCTAGTTCCCCTGTTGAGGCCACCTAATCCTATTTCCTTGTTTTTTTCTCCATTTACTTTAATATTATCTTCTTGAAATAGTTATCCAATTCCCTTTTACATTCTATGGAATTGTCTTCTTTTTCTTCCTGTGATAGTTTTGGCTCACTTCTTACTCACTCATGAATCAGTGAAAATAGTCTTCCTATTTGTCCTTTCAAAACCATTCATCATTTTAAAAATGAAATCTCCTAGTATACCTTCTCAAAAACAGTCCCAGTTGTTTGTCTCTCCACATAGCGATAAAGCTCTCATCCCTAATAATGTTCTAGTGAACCTGTGTACCCTCTCAAGGCTCTGATTCCTTTCTATAATGTGGTATGGAATACTCCCACTGGAGTCTAACAAATGTCTTATACAAATTCAGTATCATCTTCTCGCTTTTGTATTCAGTTCTTTTTATGTAAAACCTAGAATTTTATTTTTTTATTTGTTGCTGATCAACCAGAAGTTATAAATCAGTACTTTCTAGATTGCCTTAAGGTACAAGACATATAGCAACTCTTCATATAGTACCACTGCATGGTAACCATGTATTATGTGTTTTTTCTAGGTAGAACTCCCCTTGTGAAAATTGTGGCTTGTTGCTTGAGGACATGTGTATGCCTCAAAGAGAGTAATTCACGATTCACTGGTCAACCTTGATTCACTTCAGACCTGCCCACCTGGGTGTGATTATTCAGAGCCACTTCGACTCTAGAAAGATCCTATTACCTCCTCCCCCCCCCTCCTAAATGTTTCCCAAACTCAATTTAACAACTTTTAACGGATGAAGAGCTGAGTGGACCCTTGTAAATTTGAATCTAGAGCCTCCTGGACAAGTCCAACACAGACATGATGAGCCAAATGGCCTTCTGTGCTGTAAATTTCTTTGCTTCTAATTTCAGCATTTATTAACTGTGCTACCCATAAAAAATACATTAAAAAGGAGGGTCACGAGTACTAAATAAATAAATCTGTGCAATTATTATCGCATAGCTCTTGAAACCAAGCATTGTATATTATAAGAATTGTAGTGCCGGAATTGCGTTGACATGTTTTAAAGAAATAGACTGTCTTGCTCCCTGGCTGAAGGACAATGTGTAGTAGTAGTTGGTACTTTTAGCAACAAAAATGGAGCTAAAAATAGAACAAGTAAAATTAAAAGAATGAGCAATGAATAGGTTGAATTGCAAATGTGTACGCAGTCCTGAGGTTTTACCACTCAAGGGACCCACAGTACTGATTATTTTTGTATAAAATTCTAGTCTGTCTTATAACAAATACCTGATAGAACAACTGGTAGAACACTGTCAGACAGACATCAGCAATTTGAAAGACAATTGAAGGGGAAGATTAGCAACTTTGATAAAAAGGACAATATACATGTTTGAGGTAAAACAAATTGACAACCAAACAATGTGCAAAAACTGCAGCCCAAAATATATCTAATTTAGCCTTATCATTAAAACCACTTTGTCTTAAAATTTAAAATCAGGCAGAATAATGCACCATTCTTAAATTCAATCTTAATTTGCAAGATTTTTTTTTAGAACTCCACAAAGTAAAAAATGTTTTTGGCAATTATGCATGATTTAAAATGTTATGATAAAATGGTCTTTCAGGCTAAGACCAGGTAACATTTTGATGCTTTGGTGTATGAATGGACAGTTGACAATGGTATGACTTTCATTAAATATAAAGTGAGCATACCTTCCATATATTATTAAGGTTAGAAGAAAAATACAAATCCTGTACAAAAAGCTGTTTTTGTATTGATCTATGTTGCAGGTGTAATGAAAACATAAAAATTCACTCCGTTACTTTTCCCAAATTACTGCTCATTGTTAAGACCTGTAATCATAGCAGTGTTTCTGAAAATGGTAAAGTAGTAATGTCACAAAAATTGTATTGCTTGATTAATTTACTTCAGATATTTTTGGGCAGATTATGGTTTCTACCTGAGTGAAAATCTGTAAGGCCCCTATCAAAATGCTGCAGGGAAGGAATAGAGCTCAGATGGATGAAACAAAAACTAATTAGGATGTCTGCCTTTTAATTTCAGGCTCCGGAGACATGGACGGTATTTCCAAGGTAAGGGTTATGGCTAATAAGTAAACTATTTTTAGCCTTGGATATGTTAACGACTCACAAAAACACCTTTTCTTTCCTAATCTCATCAGATTCTTAGGATGTGAAGTTTTAAGGTTCAGCGCCCCAAATGCTATATCTACCCAAAATGAGATTAAGATTTACCCAAGTCAACCCAATGAAATACAAATCAGGTGGAATATCATAATGAGAAATATTTATATTTTTGTTTAACTTGATTAATTTGGGTTTGGGATTCCATATTCCAGAGACCTTCTTCATTTTCCTTTCCTAACTGTCAAAACAACATATATGTGTAGTTGTGAAACTCATGTCTAATTTAATGCTAGGAGCAATATTTCAGTGGTGCGTACAAAGAAATTTCTGTAGTTTTAATTTTCTTCAGATTGACTGGAGAAAGCAACCATAATATAAATGTCCAGATATTTCAATTTATCATTTTTCTTTTGCGTCTTTATATATATAATAATTCCGAGTTTAAATTTCTGTTTTATTTATCCTTTAAATAGTCTGAGAATGTCATGCCCTAATAATTTCTGAAGTTCTTGTTCATCTATTTGGAAGTGGTTTGAGATCGCCTGAGTTCAATTCACTCGAGGCTGTTAACAGCTGCTATAGACAGGAGATCTGCATCCTCTATTTCTGAGCTGTTTCTAAACCAGACCCTGGAGTAAAACTTTTTAATGTTGGTTCAAAAATATTTCGTTTCCTGCGGGTGTGCTTTATAGGAACCGTCGACTACTGAACTGGGTGCAGTGCCCGAAAGCATAGTTCTGATGTCCTTCAAAGGATTCAAGAAGTCTAGATTCTATCTGAGTAATTAATGTAAAGTAATTTCATCCACAAAATATACAGTCAATTTACTTTACAGTATATTCTTGAAGCACTTTGAGACATTTCAAAGATGTGCTAAAGCGCTATATCAAATGTAAGTCTTAATATTAAAATACAGTAGATTATTGAAATCTTGATGATCTGATCTTTCTCTTGTTAGTATTTAATTGATACAAACAGACAAGTCCATTGTTACATAAATGCTGTCATCATTTAAGAAAATAACAGGCTTTGTATTTGATATAGTGACTCTCACATTGAGTGGATGTCTCAAGCACTTCACAGTATTTTTCTGTAAAGTGTAGTGACTGTATATTTTGTAGGTGAAGAAGCCAAATAGCATATTCCCATTGCAAAGGATGAGGCAGATGTTTGCATTTATATTACCTCTGTATAATACAATTATTATGCAGCTACCTAATAAAATGCCAGTAGGAGTGTTCAATTGTGTATATGTGTGTGACATAAACAGAAGTAAAACATGGAGATTTTGTTTTGGCGTCTTCCTTTGTATTCTAAATTGTAAAATCTTACCAATCCCAACTGTTTTTTTTATTGGTTAAAAGAAATTGGAATGTTTGATTGCCATGGGTTTATTGGCCATAGTTGGATGATTAAAGGCTGGACCTTTTGGGATTACTTTTTTGAAATGTGACAGTCACCATTTTAGCCCTGTAGAATATTATGTAAAAAGGCAACTGAGATTAGCATTTTTTTAAAAAAATTGTAGTGTGCCTATTTTTAATACATAAAGGTTGTGTTCCATAGTTATCTTAAGTAAGGCAGAAAGTTTTTGTAATTTTAATGTTTGGGCAGATCTGATAGACACTGTAGCAGATGATTTTTAAAACCTGTGAAATGATTTAGAAAGAAAATTTCTTGTAACACATCATCCAGTCCCCAGATTGTTTGGGACTTTGGAACTGCCAACCTTATTTCCAGCTGGAGGAAAGAGCAATAAGGTTATTATAATATTAAATAGTAACCAAGATTGATTTCTATCTTGTTTGAGACATACTGTTCACACGGCTGGATATATACTCGGGCAGTCCTGTGTGCCACATGTGCACTGCAGACAAGCTGAAAAAAATAAATGACTAAAGTGGCTATGTTAATGTTTAAATACACTACTGAAAATAAAGAATTCCACAGAGCGTTGTTCCCAGAGATGGTGTAATCCCTAAAGAAGAAAAAGGAAGCTTCTGTAAATAAATTGTACCCATCAAAACAATTAAAATAATGTAGATTTCAGTAGAATGTTTATCTGAATCCTGGCAGCCAGGCATTAAGATCTAAGATTGTGGAGGTGGTTCAGGTGGTTAGTTAAAATGTTGTGAATGTCCACTGTATTTAGAATTCTTCCAGCCCAAAGAGGAATGCATTAAAATGGGCGATTTTATGAACTGCTTGTTACAATGCAATTGTTTTCCCTTGTAGTATTGTTGCCATTGCCAAATGTTTGTTCTCTTGGAGATTGCCAGTCCATCATATTGCATAGCAAAAATATTTCACTGAAACAATTTCCTGCTCCTAAACCGTTCTATAAAAAAACGTATGAATATTTCAGAGATTCCTTCTTCCATATTCTTAATCTCCGGGTAGCCATGGGCAGAGCGTAATGAGTAAATTACATAATATGAGCGGAATACAGATTAAAATTGGAGAACTACAGTGAAAGATCATGTGACTCATTTTGTTAAAATGGTGACTAGAGGTACTTTTTGTAATTTCTAATAATCCTTACATTTGCATTTGCTGCTGTTGTTATTTTTAGCCCAGCAAATCAGAATGTCTCATGGTGGACAGCATTTGTAAACTAAGTGCCATTAAACTGTTTGCTAAAATAAAATCATTATTGCAGAAAATTATATTTAAATATTTATAATTGCCTTTTGTCATCTTTATTCCTTTATACAAAAATTGAATATCCAATCGAACAGTGTTGAGAATTTTATTCCACAATTAATTTGATCATGTTTAAACCATAGAATGTTAACTAAGCACAGTAAATTTCATTTCATTTCTGTGAAGGTAGTCTCACTGATGGAGAATTTTTCATTTCTCAAATTGAAAGTGATTTTTACCTTAGCTGCTCATTTGTTTTTCCCAGACCAAGATCTCTTAATCCAATTTATCATGCAAACACTGTTTGTTTAGTGGCTAGTGAACAATTGCCCGAGGGAAAGTGATAGAAGCTTGTGATGTTTGTAACTTGCTAGTTCAACCTTAAAAGATATGTATAGCTAAAAATAAGCTTTTTTGGGGTATTAACCCTTGCCTCAATTTGAAGGATTGATTATTTTGAATCTAGAGAAAGTAACCAGGACATTGAAGTTTAATGTTGTTAAGAGGGAGATTTGGTTTGGTTGATGAACTGTATTGTAACCTCCATATCAGCTTGTTGTGCTCAGCATTTCTCTTATGCCACCCAAGTCATTAGAATTCTACATAAAATTTGAGGCTTTTGTATTTGCAATATTTGTGAAAATTTGTGAAAATGCACAGCGCCAGATACCTTACCATTGCTTTTATCATTAAAGCAAATTAAGCAGTCATATACAATATGAAAAATATTAGTATAGATATAGAATGCCTTTAATAAGAAACAAGTCTACCAATGTGTGTTTGGTTGTTGCATTTTGAATTAAGCAAATATATTTTCCTGTTAAATTTCTGTTAAAGGTTTGGATGAAGAAATGGAGAGTAATTGAATGCCTAAAAAAAACAAGCATTTTAGAAAAAGAGCAAACCTTTTATTGCTAAATCTTGTGCATTAGAATGTGATCGTGTGCTACTGCATCCTTTGATTAGTGGAGGCGGCCTCTTCAAAGGTTGCAGTGATATGCAATTCTGAGGAATGTAGCAGCCGTTGTATTACTGTCGCCCTAATCGGATCAAGTCCATATTTCAAGTTAATATACTTTTTAGAAGAAATGTAAGTTTCAACAGATTTAGATGCGCAATTAAAATTCAAGGAAATATTTTGTATGTCACAGTAAAAGGTTATACTGTATACAAAGTCAGATGCAGTGGGCCACATTATTGTATTTGGTGTCTGGGCAGGAAAGAGTTAATTACTATAACTGATTCCTAATATGCAATGACAGTTAACTGGAGGAGAGAAAATATATGCATCCGATTTCCTGATGTTGCGGAGGAAAGGAAGATTATGGGGGAGGGTGTTGATCCTTTTTATTTTCGACTTCCTAATGTCAATATGTAATGTATTTGAATGCATAGCAGCCCAGTGAGAGATCTTCTGCTCACAAATCATTGAAATGTGAGCTCTAAATATATTACTGTTTTGGTCATGTGCTCATATTTGATTTGTAATGCTTGGTTCTTCTCTGGAAAACTTGTTGTTGGCCTAGAGTGTGAGATTCTGTAAAATTAAGATAAAGTTAACTGTTAAAATGATTCAATTGGTTTGAAGTGACCTATGGATTTATTATTTTAATAACGCTATGATGAAGAAGTAAACAGCAGCTTGAAGTTTACTGAAGCAAAAATACAGAAGAGCGATTCCACAAATCATTGAAAATAAAATAAATTGAGCTCCTACCATAAATTAAATTTGTGTCAATGTTGTATTTGCAATTGAGCAGCAAGTTAAAATCTACAGCTGAGTACAGTTGTACAGTACCGAGTACAGTTTTGATGGTTATGAAAACATAAGCACAAATCCGTTCATTGCAAGAGTGTGCAGTTAAATTTACAATAGAGTTGGTTTGTAAGCTAATGATCTAATGTGATTAAAGTTTACATTCAGAATAATTTACACTCATTTATATTCATTTGCTCATAGAATTCTCCCAGTAACATAAGTATGAGTAACCCGCCTGGTACTCCACGTGATGATGGAGAGATGGGTGGAAACTTCTTGAACCCCTTTCAGAGTGACAGCGTGAGTATTGTTGTGCATTTTTCTTTTAATAGCCTCTTTATTGTTTATCACCAGCTTTTTATAACTCCCAATAAAATAAGAAGTTAAACAGCGATAGTTCACTTTCAAGTGTTTCTTTTAAAACCCACTAAATCTAACTGAATTACTTTGTAAACTTGGACTATTTTCTCTGTTTAATTTGCAGTAACCTATGCAGTGACCCATGATCAGGAAATATAATTTTCCACTAAAGTTACCTCTACCTTTGCAAATGACCACCTCACAAGCCATTTTTACCTTCTTTTTCCAATTTAACTGGTCTATGATGAGATTTGTTTCTGAGCTCTGACTGTTTAATTTTTTGCTGAATATTTATGCTTGTATGTGCTTTCTCAACTAAACTGTTGCAATTTTTTTAAAATCTAATGCTTTTGTTAAATGCTTTTTTCTTATTGGCAGGGCTAATGAGTTGTAGTTTGCAGTAGGATTCTGTGCTGATTAATGTTCTGTTCCAAATTTTTTTTTAAAAATTAAGATTTTATCAATTCACCATTACTGGAAGCTGTGGTTGAATCAGAAAGCATTAACGCATTTAAGAGGAAACGTAATGGAGAAGGGAATAGAGGGTGATGGAAGAAGGAATTAGGAAGGGTGGAGACTCGTGTGCAGTCTAAAGATTGGTACAAACTAGTTGGGCCAAATGACGTGTTTCCATGCTGTATGGTATATGTAATTTCGTAGACCGTACTACCATATTCCCTAATTTGTCACTATAATTACAAGTGCCTGGAGACATCTTGGAATTTTGTCTCAAATGAGTAGGAATTGGCATATTTCATGCTTGCCAGTGCCTTTTCTGCATTCAAAACCTCAGTATTAACTGGTACTTGGGTCTGTTTAGTCCAGGTGACACAAAATGTCAGACCACTATGAGGCTGTAATTGTATAAGGCTGTGATGGTGTATTGATGAGTGTCTTATTACAGGGTATTCTTATTATGGAAGGAAATGTAGATTAGTTTAACTTAAAATAACTTCCCCCATGAATGTTATCCTCTTCAATCATGAAACCTGTTTCACTAAGCATTTTTGTAACATTGTTTGTGCAATGTGTATTTTAATTTTGTGAATAAAAAGCACATTTTTTTAGATATGCAATCAGTTTAAAATGTTCATTTGTAGGATTTGAGGGATTTCAGCTAAACAAAATGATGTACAATACATCCTAATGTTAAACCTTTGTTGTTTAACTGTATCTAAAAGGAATGGGGATAATAAATTGATTAAGGAGAGGAACCATTGTGAATATGTTTCTCTGAATGCGAATGCATTTCTGCAGAACTATGGGTGGTTTATGTTGTTGGTCAGTATCATGACTTGATATTGCTGAGACCCATATCACATATGAGCCTTCCTATAAAATAGATTACAATCTCATTAATTCAGACTGGATTTCAAATGGAGTCTGAAAGGTCAAAGTACAGTATGCCTCCTCACTGCACCTCCCAGTTCTCTGCACCAAGCAATTGTTGATGAATGCCTTCCCTGAAATTCATGGCAAATGTCTCTTGCGATTTTTAGTTGCACCTCAGTAACATGATAAATGTCTGCAAATGTGTCAAACATTCTGTTTGTAAATGTACCTAAGTGCTTTATTAATTATTAATAATTTGTTTCAACAGCATGATAATGCTCAACCAATCAAAGACAGTTCCCTCTGTTATATTGATTTCTAGTTTCCCCTCAATAACTTGAGAAGTCTGACAGATTTGTATTACATTCAGTAGGTAGACAGGAAATATTGACATCACCAAAGGCTACTATTATAACTGCTGCTCAGGGAATAGCATTATTTTCTTAGCTCCATGGTTATTTTTTCAATTTGACTTAATTTCTAGACAGAAAAAAATTCAAAAAGAAAATTCAAAACTGATCTACATCTTGGGTCGTCAGTTTATTGTCTTCATTCTGTCCTTCACCCACTGATACCTTACACGTACACTATCAGGGCTATGTACTATATTTTCAGTTGGCATTATATACAATAAGAGTTGGAATGAATTATTGACTGGTGAGAAAGGGAAGGAGTGGATTTCCTGGATTTGGACAGTCCCTTCCACGTCCCATTGAAATCCAACATATGAAAAGTATAATTTGAGAAATGGCATTTGTGGTTTAATTTATAAAGCTTACAAATCGATTCCAAAATGTACCATAGAAAATTTCCTGTTAGTCTTGCGGACAAATTGTAATGTTTCTATTGCACAACATGTAATAAGTAAAAGTGTTAGGCTGGCTCAGTTAGTAGAGCTCTTGCTTCTGATCTGGAAGCTTGTGGGTTCAAGCCCCTTGTCGGGACTGGAACCCGTAGTCCACGCTGCAGTTCTGGGGTGCGCTGTATTGTTGGAGGTGCTATTCTTTAGATGAGAAGTTAAAAACGAAATCCTCCAATTCAGATGGATGCTAAAGATCCCAAGGAACAATTTGAAAAGAGAAAGAAGTTTCTCCTGGTGTCCTGGTCAACAATGACCCTCATAAATTGATCATGCATTCCATGGCTCTTTGAGACATTGCTGTACCTATTTGGCTACTGTATTCGCCCACAAAGTATTTAGTCACTCCACTTTACAATATATATCCAGTGAAGCGCTTTGGGATGTTATCCTGACGTAAAAGGTGCTATACCAAATGCAAGGATTATTATTATTACTATTATATTAATAATCCTTATATTTGATTTAGTACTATCCACATTGGGAAGATGTATCAGAGGTTCAGCGTATATAACTGTAAAGTGTAGTGACTATTTGTAGATAAACAAACTTATATAGTTAGATCTTCTGCTGTAACTATTCTCTGTAGTTATCCACATACAGTAATTTGTACACAATAATGCAATTCCATTATTAATCGGAAGATTTCAGTTTTTATAACTTTGTGTTTTCAATAATCAAACGGTGCCCTCTGCTGTCTTTGCATTCTCATCACTGTTTTGGTAGAGTTTTCATAGCTAAAAAATTATTTCCAGAGTTAAACATGATTTGAATAAGCATTAAATAGACCAAGTACATGAAGTATATTTTAAAAGGTGACTTGAGGTGTTTTTATATACATTGACAGAAAATATGATTTGGAAATTTGGCTATCTTAGAATATTATAATATTAATAATACAACTTGCACTTATATAGTGCCCTTCATGCAGGTTAGCGTCTCAGAGCGCTTAACAGCGGCGGAGCCTGATTCCTAATAATCCTTACGTTTGATATAGCGCCTTTCATGTCAACAGGACATCCCAAAGCACTTCATAGGATACACTGTAAAGTGGAGTGTCTTTGTTTTGTGGATGAATATCTTAATGAATTTAGTGATTTAAAGCTGACAAGATAAGTATAGTTGAGAAAATAAATGAGAAGAATTGATGTGATGTTGCTGATGCGCATCTAAAGACAGCACAGGCTGAAGTTGTAGCCAACATAAATTTATAAACAATAGATCATGCTTCACAAATCCATTGAAATTATTACAGGATGTAAGTGAACTACTGGATCAGTGGTAGGTTTGCTTGGATTTTCAAAAGACATTTAATAAAGTTCCACATATGAGGCTTTTAAAAAGAAGGTAAAAGCTCAGAATAAATGGAAAATTAACTGGTTGCGTTGAAAATTAGTTTAGCATGTGGAAGCAGAAGAAGGTATTAAATGATAGAAGCTCTGTCTGAAGGGGCAGGTTTTAGTGGAGTTCCACAAGGGGTCTGTTCTGAGACCCTGTTGCATGCATTATTCATACATGACTTCAAGTAGAACACAACTTGTAATGCAATATTTGCTGATGGTACCAAGCTATATAGTCAGATGAATTAGGATAAATGATACTCAAGATGATCTGAACCAATTAAACAGATGGGCCAAGGAGTGGCAGATGTATTTTGATAAAGATACAGTTGACTTCACTTATACAAGTGCCATGGGATTTTCACGTCCACCTGAATCGGCAGAACACCAGAACAGACTCAGTTTTCGTATCCAAATGATAACACCTCTAACAATGTAGTGTTTGCTCGTACTAAACACAGTGATGTTTGAGAATGTAGTTTCACCCAGCAAACTGAATTTTTTAAAAATATATCAACAAAAATAACAACTTCACTTGCATCCTTCATGTAAAAATATTTAAAAGAACTTCACAGAGATGGAGGGTTATGGGTGACTAAAGGTGCAGTCAGAAGTAAGCTTTTAGAACAGTTTTGAAAATGGAGAGAAAAGGTGCGAGGCAGCAGGATTCAGGGAGAGTTCCAGAGAACAGGGGTGAAGTGGCTGATATGGGCAAGGGAAGTGCAGGAAACCTGAGTTAGCAAAGTAGAAGGAAGCAGTGGAGGAATAGGATCACAGGATACCACAGAGGTAAGATAGTACAAGGATGTGGAGGTGCTTGAAAATTAAAACAAGGGCCCTACAGTCAACTTTGCTGGGGAATAGGGAGCCAGTAAAATCAGTTAGGGCTCAGGCATTTTTTGGGGGGAAAGCATATGGGCTGCAGAGTTCTGGATGATCTGGAGCTTGTGGAGGCTTGAGCTGAGAAGGCCAGCGAGAAGGACATTGAAGAAATCAAGTCTGACAGTGATAAAAGCATGGATGATAGTTTCAGCTACAATGGGGGTGCAGCAGTCTTCATAGTGGATGTTGTAGTGGAGATGGACCTCATCAAGGACTAAATATTATAATTGCCTAAAAATCCATGCAGTACTGCTAAATCCAAGAAGTGTCTCCTAGTATCTTAGCCAAGAGTCCTCCAGTTTAAATTGGTAAATTACTTGGTCATTCACTGTTTGTAGGACATTGCTGTGCGCAAATTGGCTGCTGCGTTCGCCTGAAAATATACATTCATTACACCTCTTAGAGTGAATCCTGTGAAGCGCTTTGAGACATTTCGATGACAAGACCCTAAACCAAATGCAAAGGTTATTATTATAAATGGTGGCAGCAATGTAATAAAACTAATATGGATTTCAAGTGAAGGCACTGAATTGAATTATTACCTTTTCTTTAGTATAAGTGAATTGAGTGTACAATAATGGTTCCAGTCTTTAAGCCCTGTGAATACTCAAAGTATTTGTGGAGTCCTGTAGCTCAGTGGTTAGAGCACTCGCTTTGCAAGTCAGAGACCTGAGTTCAATTCCAGGCAGGGCGAAACCTTGGGCAAGTTTCCTTACTCCACACAGAGCCTAATAATAATCCCTCCAAAACCAAAAACAATAATAAATTGGTCATTTTCAATCTACGACTGTTTGTGGGACATTGCTGTGCGCAATTGGCTGCCGCGTTCGCCCACAAATATACAGTCAATTCACTTTACAGTGTTCTGTGAAGCGCTTTGGGACGTCCTCCCGACGTGAAAAGCGCTATATCAAATGCAAGGATTATTATTATTATTAAAGTCATTTCTGTACCAAGAGGTTTGATAGTTTACTCTTATGGTCCTCAATTGTGGTCAATATTTTCATAATATTCTAATGTTACCTTGGGTATTTACTCAAATATTTTTCCACTTCCCTGGCTGGTTATCTAGGAACAACATGTTCTCCTTCATCCAGAAGGCATGGTCAAGGAATCTGGACTTCAGATATCTCTATGAGTGTCCTGGAGTAGATGACATATATCATTAGAATATTTGTGGAACCAGAAGAAGAAATAGGCGAGGTGCTGGTTTAATATGTTTAGCAGCCACACAAATGGATGGTTGTCACTGAGGATAATGAATATTATCCTGATATTCAAAGAAGGAGTGAGAGATGACCTCAGGGATGATGACCAACTTGGGCAACATTCATTGTGGGGAAAACTTGAGAGCACTCTTATTATTGCTCATTTCAAGAGCACAGGAGCTATAGACAATAGTAGTCTCGTATTGGAAGCAACGTCAACTCGTGAGTGAAAGCTATCCAGTGGGTTTGATAGGAAAAGCAAGATTTATGGAATTAAGGCTAAATTAGTTAACTGGATTGACAATAGAAAATGAAAGTGATAAATGGAAAAGGAGGTGTGGGGGGTGGGGGTAGAGGAGTTGTGAAGAACTCTGTTCTGGATCAAATGTTTCACTAGTCGTAAACAATATTGAGGATCATGGTTTAATTTAAATAGTCAAATAAGACTATTAGTTTACTCATAGTAATTCTAATGTTACGTTGTGTATTTACTCAAATGTTTTCCCGCTTCCCTGGTTATCTAGCAATTGTATGGACTTTGGAATGGTATTAGGGAGATTGATAGTGTTAAAAGGAATCTGGACAACACAAAAAGAAATCCGTTAAGGAATTACAAATGGCTTTTAAAGTGTTCATTGGTTACTGGAACATGACAGACAAAAGATGCTTATAGAATGAAGGAGTTTCCACTGGCAAGGCTGGAAAAGAAAGGGGGCAGGTGAGGTATTGAAAATTAGAAAGATAAGACGAGACAAAAGGGATCTGACATTACACTACACAGCATCACTACTTCTCCCCGATGATGTAGCGGGTTGTAATTGTAATCATAACTCAAAAAATTGGATTAATAACCCAAAGTTTTGTTTGGTTAGCCGAGGGTTTGGAAATTTCAGTTTTAACGTCTTGGAGGTTTACTCATAGTCTCCTTCCTACCTCTGTGAACTGCTAACCCCATATCAACCTGTCCGTCCCTCCGCTTAGTCGGCTTCGGCCTACTCCATTGTGGAGTCATGTAGCTCAATGGTTAGAGCGCTCACCTTGCAAGCGAGAGACCTAGGTTCAATTCCCAGCAGGGCGAAATGTTGAGCAGGTTTACTTACTCCACACGCCTCTGTTTATATTATGGAACAAATGGCTTTTAAAATGTTCATTGTATAGTGGAACATGACAGACAAAAGATGCTTATAGAATGAAGGCTTTTAAAGTGTTCATTGTACAGTGGAACATGGCTCTGCATTTCGCCAACAAAATATACGGTCAATTCACTTTACAATATATTCTGTGAAGCGCTTTGCAACGTCTTGAAGACGTGATAAGGCATTATATCAAATGCAAGAAATTATTATTATATCCTCCGCCCGGCCTGCTCCATTATTGGCTGTCAGGCCTTCCACTTCTCTGCTCCCCCTTGCCTTCTATGTTTCAAGACCCTTCTCTTTGACCACACCCTCCTACCCTACTCTCCCTGCGCTCCACCCTCCTCTCGATCCAAACCCCGTGCTCGGGTCCAAATCCCTGACTGTCCAGAGCCTTAGGACGTCCCCCGATGTGAAAGGCGCTATACGAATGTAAATTGTTGTTGGTTGCTTATAATAATAATAATCCTTGCATTTGATATAGCGCTTTATTACATCTTCTAGACGTCTCAAAGCGCTTCACACAATATACTGTAAAGTGATTTGACTACATTTTGTGGGACAAACACGGCAGCCATTTGCGCACAGCCATGTCCCACAAACAGTCATGGAATGTGTTACTAAATTATTATTAATTTTGAAGCCATTATTACACCCAGAAAAGCGATCCGCCAATCGACTAACAACAGGATTCCTCCTTAATGCTAGGTAAACAGAGGAGTGTGGAGTAAGAAAACTTGCCCAATGTTTTTGCCCTGACTGGGAATCAAACCTAGAAATTGACTGGGAATCCTCGCCTGACTCCACTGGCTTCCCATTACACAGAGGATACAGTTCAAGATCCTGGTCCTCACCTTCAAAGCCCTCCATGGCTTTGCTCGCTCTGCATCTGCGATCTCCTAACCCAGTACTATCCTGCCTGCTCCCTTCGCTCAGCAGGCTCCGGGCTGCTTCCCATCCCCCACTTTGTCCACCGCACCATTTGGCGGGCGGGCCTTCTGCCACTCTGCCCCCATCCTCTGGAACTCCATCCCGCACTCCCTCCACCTCACCCCCTCCCTTGCTTCCTTCAAGATCCATCTCAAGACCCTCCTCTTCGATTGTGCTTTCGATCACCCTGCTTTCCTGCTCCCTGCTCCCCACCCACTCCGACCCCAACCCCCAGCTCGGGTCCGAAACACTGACTGTCCAGTGCCTTGAGTCGTCCTTCCGACGTGAAAGGCGCTATACAAATATAATTTTGTTGTTGTACTCGCTTGCGAAATGAGTGCTCTAACCACTAAGGTGCAGGAACCCACATGTAGCTTAGTGGTTAGAGCACTATCTAACCAATATTATTTAACTACTGCTTATCAACACTCTTGATGGTGAAATTCCTTTTCCTGATTCTTAACTTTGAAAATCTGTTATCATAAAAATGAAATAACACACCAGTAAGGTAGAACTGTCACCTTGTCAGTAATTAAATAATTCCAAAAGGTCTAATATACTGAAGCCTGGAGATTATCCTTGATTAAACATTTGAATGAATAGAATGAACTTAACATCTTATTGATTAAAAACATATTCTTCATGCACTCGTGAGCTTCTAAAACCATCTTATTACTCAGAGCTTGGACCTTGTATATGCTTCTATCAACTTTGCACATAGCTATAAGGTTTTACCATTTTAGCAGGTATTGGCTGTTTGACATCAGTACAACCAACCCCCCATCTCTTAAAATAAGTTATTTGTATTGAGGAGCACAGACTGCACCCATTTATCACTACAGTGGCCATTATTGTAATAGCACTTTGTTGAAGTCATTCGAATATTTGTGTTACGGCAGAAATTAAACGAAACACCAAATGTGGGTGTCAACTAATGATCCTTTGTTCAATACCATTTTATAAAATGATTTAAAATTGTAGAATATTTTGGTTAACCAAATCACAAAGTGGCTTCTCTTTTTTGCTGGTGATTACTTTCATGATCTATGAACTGTCAGGATTCTTGAATGATCTTCACATTCTGATTTGTTTTATTCTCCACAGTATTCTCCAAGCATGACGATGAGTGTGTGATCTTGTATCCATCTTCTTGATCAAGACCAGAATGGGTTGCCCTCTTAAACAATGAAATAAGTGCATCCAAGAGAAGAATGAAATATTTTACAAAGGTCTACAGAAAACAGATGTTTCGATTCTAGGAAAGACCTGTTGTTGTTCTGAAATGACAGCAGTGTCTCATTGTGTACTGAAAGCGGGTCCAAAACATTCTTTTAAGTTTACAAAACCTCAGAGACTGAACAGTTCAACCATTTAAATGTAGGAGATGCCTGAATTAGGCAACACACAGTAACTTACATGACCTCCCACAGTATAACAAGACATGGTATGCTTAATTCAGCTGTTTGAAAGAATACAATCACAAACGCAGCTTAACTTGATACTGTTTTCTTTTGTTTTTCCCTTCTAAATTAATTTTGTAATCTACTTATCAGAATACGCTCATTGTAGTTTTGTAATGCATAAACAAGCACTGATGATTCCTCTCTTATGCTTTATAAGACATTGTTGATATAAAAAAGTCCTAGTTAGCAGAATAATATAGACGATTTCTCAAATTGGAATTAGCCAAATACAAGATAAATGTGGAAGGGAAAAATGAAACAAAATAAATATCTTAAAAGTTAGTGTTGTGTTCAGTAAGTGTCATTCTTTGAATTAGAACTACGTTAATTGTCCTGTGAAATAGGAGTGAGCCTGTCTTTTTAATTGTAGAGTGCAGTGGTGGGTTTAGGTCCTTAACTACAGTCCCAGCATATCACTGTTTGAACACTAGACTGAATGTGCTTATGGTTACTGACAAAAACTAGTAAGTGCTATAGTTGTAGCAGCTCGGTAATTGCAGACATCTGCTTTTAATCCCACCCCCTCAATAGCAGTAAAATATGCTGAGATGTAGTGGTCTGTCAATGCAATCAGGACCATTTGATGGTAAATTGTGTGACCTCAGTCCACCACTATTAGACAATGGCCATTCTTCCTAATTTAATGTTGCCCCATAAAGATCTGCATTTTAGCCATTACCTCTTTTTAAAAAAAATTGAAAATGAAACTATCTTTTGTAAATTTTCATGTATTCCTTATTCTTCTTCCTTCTGTGCAAAATGATATATTGTAAATGTACATTATGTGTAGATTGTAACAAACTGAAGTTTTTTGTTTGTTTTTGTTTTGTATGTGTGTGAGTGAGGGTTCTCAAAGTTACTGCAGTTAGGGCCTTTTTCTATGGGAAAATGTTCTGGTCTGAGAATGGAATTGGTGTAAAAGTAAATTTTGTACAAATTGCAGGCCAACTTTTTCTGTTCTCGGACCACATAAAAGGAAGATAATATGTTTCAAGGGGATTTACTGAGATTTTCCCAAAAGGAATTGTGATTATAAAATACATTTTATCATGCATGTTAAAGAATTATACTAATGCTGGTAACAGTTAGAGGGTAACTCCAGACTCTAATTATGCAGTTGATACTTTGGTGTTGCTAGTAAATTTTATATTGTAGACCATGAATTCAAGTATAGAACCTATTTTTTTTAATTGCCCGGGGACTCAGGCATGTGAACTAGTGATATTGACTGCAGAACACCAGGCAGAAAATGGCAATTGGTATAACTGTCAAAAGTATTAGTAATCTAGATATTGCTTATAATTGTGTCAATAGATCCCTAGTAACAAGTATTGAATTGTGAGCAATTGTACACTTGGATGTGTTCTTTTCCCAATCAGTGAACACTAAGCGGAATAACAAAGAAGAAGATTTGTAAATGTAATCCATTCCCTGTGTTTTCTCATTTGGAAAGGCCCTAACAAACCGAAGCGGAGTTTCTCTAAAACAAACCAATCATTTTATTTTTTTATCTTTTTGCTCGCATGAGGAAATGATACATATAAGCAAAATAAAAAATAAGCACCACCACACCCTAAAACAAAGGGTAACATGGTCAGTCAGACCTTTTTATCTTGTATTATCTTTTGAAAATGGTTTATATATTAACCAGAAATGTAATACCAATACCAAGTTAAACACGTAGTTATCGTACCTGATTTTGAGGTATTCAGTCTGAATACAATGCTAATTGCTGAGGTGGTTATAGTTCGCTTCCATTAGTAGCAATTTGCTGAAATATGACGACTTTTATTTTGTGAATTTTGTGATGTCGTGCCATATTTATTGGCATATTTAATGTTGTGATTCAGAGTATTGTGATTGGGTTCTGGGAAGAACTGGCTTGTTCTCAAGAAATATTTTGAGTGTGCTAGCAATTGTTGTACGAGACGTGGTTTGTACAAAATCAGCCACGACTTTCAAACTGGGAAGCTTTTTCACTGAACCAGGTCAAAATACTATTATCTCTTTAAGCTTCATTGGAACCCTGAGTGCATCAGGGCTCTTTTATATTTTATCTGTTTTTAGAGTATAGATGAGTTGTTCTTCAGAACTGGGATGAACAGTTTTATTCATCCAAGTTGTTTGTCTCGTCTTATAACATGCAACCACTTAAGTGAAAGAGATATCACAACATTAGCTCATTGAGTACTTGGATTGCATATTAGCAGCAGATAACTTGTTCCGTTTTTCAAAAACCACTGCCCAGCACCACCAGAACCTGATAGAAATTGTGCATTCTTGCTATGTGTCTGCTTATTGTTTTCTTTTTTATAAACTATTTATAGCTTATTAAAATTCACTTGGTTTTCTTGCTGAGAAGTTCATCCTTAAAACATTGTGCTTTGTTCGACGAAATGTTTTTTTAAAACAATAGGGAGATTTTTTTTGAGGGGGGAGGGAATGGGACACTATAAGGAAATTGTTTTGTGGGGGAAGTTTACCAAGAAAATGTATTAACTATTAAGTACATGTTGGACTGCCCTTCTTGCTTATATAAGCACTTTGACAATTACAATGTAACATTGTTCGTTATTCTACATTGAACCTAGATTCCAATATGTCACTGCAGCATATTTGATCAATACATTAATTCCAATGTTCCAACTTACCATTATTCCATACTGGAACTGCAGTATGTCAACCAAGCAATTGAACTATTTTAGTGACCAAGGTTCTGGTGATCCAGCGAAATTCTTTGTACGTAGAGAAGTTTGATTGATTGGAAGTAATCTGATGTCTTTCTTTTCAGAAACATGTATCATAAATTGCATTATAAATGTGACCAGGATCTTTGCTGGTTGTATACTAAAAATGTTCAATAATGCAGTGAAAAATCATTACATCATTGAATGCCTAAATTACAAAAAAGAATCCTCCAGGTTAACTGGATTAGTTGAAAAATCTATGAAACCTACATAAAATGAAAACCTCCAAATAATAACCATGTGTATGTTAGTTAGGCACATTTTCTGATAAACTTTCCCTGGTATTTATTTTTGCCATGAGTTCTATAATATTGCCTTTACTTTGTGCCTCACCTTGAGATATAGTCATTTGAGAGGAACTCTTCCTTCAAACAGGAAACTCATGTAAGCAGTACTCTAGGGATCCAATAAGCCACACACTTTTGGAATCAAGAAAATCATTGAAAATCCGGTGATCTTTGATCTATTATCTTTACCACTATTTTTCCAACATTTGCACAAGAGATACGAAAGTAAATACAAATTTACTTCTGGAACGGATAGTTAGCTGCAATAACAGAGTGGTAATTGTTCCAAAAGTCATTCTGATGTGTTATGTAAAATAATGTAGTTTGTGTAAGAAACTGTCTTGACTATGGTTTATACTGTAAAATACTGTTGTAAAGCGCAAATTGACTCCATGTAGCAAGTGTCTTTCTGTAGTTATTGTTAGTATGTCACTAAATTAGCCTTTTTTTTGTATTTGATTTATGCCTTGTCAAGCATGCTTAACCATCTCTGGAATCTCTGATGTGGATGTATTAAAGATTCAGCCAACAGAACAGAAACTACCTGGAAACACTAAATTAATTCCTAATTGAGATATTTCACCCGATTACAGTTTTAAAATTTACAAAGTTGCAAAATACATAAACTCAATAAAATTTAAAATATATGCCCACAAAATCTAGTCTATGTGTTGCACCCTTGTTTGTATACACTTGAAATAAATTACCCTTCTGTAAAAGCTGCACTGATGTATAAGTTGTTACCTATAATGTTAGAGGACAGAATGGGCATCAAATAACTACTTATAAATCTGTTTTTGTTGTATCCCATTTACTGGTCTATGTTTACCTATGTATCAAAATATATTTCTATTTTTTTGCAATAACCTAACCTTTTCATGAAGTTTCACCAGAGAAATTTAATTCTCAACTTATTTTGAATAATCCATATTTTTTAAACTATTGATATGAACTTCTTGAAAGAGAAATACATGAAATATACTAAGCCAAATTTATACCTAAGTTTTTGCAGCAATTCACTCTGAAATTTGCTGGGTGAGGGTACAAATAATTGGGTTTAAGTCCAGCTACTAAGAATACCTTGAGGTGGTTTCACCAAGCGATTGGTTTATAGTGCTGCATTATAAATGTAGTCAGTACGAATAAATTTGGCTTCTGCTCATAAATAGTCCTTTAAAAGTTCATATGGTGTCTTGCTGCATGTAATTATAATTCTGGAAAGGCTGTAACTGGGCTTTTATAACAATGACAATGTGATAGCAAGCAAAAAAAACTTCAATCCAGGTAGCCAGGTAAACTTTACTCTGTTGGTAAAAAGGAAGATTACAATATTGGAATCAGGTTTGTATTCTGTGTCTTCTGGTTATGGGTGATGAGCAAAATAACTTGATGAATGGCATCATTCCTGTTAAGAATGGGGCCTCAGTGAAACTCCAGGTAGCAATGCATGGCTCTTGGTCATTGAACTAGAAATTGTCACATGTCTATTTAAAGGTGACATTGCTAAATCCATATTCTACTCGTGGGAAAGGATGTGCTTCGTGCACTTTGTTCTTCAATCAATTTGGTATGATATGCAGTGGCCAACCTTCCAATTTCATTTTCTTTATGATCTTAAAGTAAGAATCAGATATTTCACTTTCAGTGACTTTAAAAATACATTCTGAGTAATTGTGTTAAAAATCCCAACCTTTTATAACTATATATTATATATAGTTTGTGAGTATACAAAAGTAACAAGTCAGTAACCATTTAAACCAGAAACATATATATAACCTTAGGTTTTAGGGCAAACTTAATTTATGCAGATGGCTTATGGAAGTTGCTGTATAAACTTTGAAGCATACCTTGATGGCTGCCCAGCACTGCACATCATTGCATGGACTCAGTGTGTAAAATGAAATTCCTTATCCCAATGTTTTACTTTTTGTATTTGTTCCTGCAGGCACAACAGTATTGTATTTAATAGTTTTACCTTCACTTTTGCTTTGTGTTCCTGAGTACTATTTAGAGATGTGTCCTGGTTTATTGTTCAGAACATTATGTATTACACCATTTGTATGTTCTTTAAATTGTAAAGTTTCTTAGATTGAAAAAAACCTGCTCATTAAACTGTTACAACAAATGTACTCACTAGACTGTATTCCTGGTATCAAAATTTACATAGGAAACTAATAACGGAGATGTAAGGAAGTTTAAACATATCGGGTTAATCATGAGTCTCGAGTTACTTGCTTCGTCTCTTGAAGTCTCTATGCACAATCTCATTATATTTTAAATATTCATCAAAGGATTCGTCATACCATCTGTTGCTAATGAGTTCCTTTTTTTTCCTTTAGAAAACAGGTTGGTAAGTTAGATCGGTGTCTGACTATGTCTAAAATATCAGCAAAAATGTTTATTTAATGTTACAGCATCTTTCCTCCTTTACTTAGGTACCTCAGATCTAATCTAAGCAGAGCTTCTGTTGGATCAGAACCCTGGATCTGTCTGGATAATAATAATAATAATCCTTGCATTTGATGTAGTGCCTTATCACACTGTTGAGACATCTCAAGCTGCTTTACAGAATATACTGAAAAGTAAATTGTATATTTTCTGGGTGGAACACGGCAGCCAATTGTGCACAGCAGTGTCTCACAAATAGTCGTGGACTGAGTGACCAATTTTGCTTTTTTGGGAGGAGGAAGTTATTACTCCTGGAAAGCAATCAGCCAATTGATCATGTGAAGTCAGGAAACTTGCCTAACATTTCACCCTGTCAAGGTCCTCCCGCTTGCAAGGCAATACACCGATACACTACAGGATAGGAAAGGGCTGAGCCGCTGGGCTTCCAAACACAATTGGAGGAATCTCCAGCCAGTAACTAGTTTACAGCCTGGCTCCATGTGGTGCAGGATGATTGTTCTATTCTTAATGGAGAATTGTGAGAAAGGAGTTCATATTGCCTTAATAGTGACTCTGATTCAACATGATCACAAGAGAAGTTCAAATGGAGAAGTCCCCTTGGGCCATTTGACCTAATTTTTCCAAAATATCCATCCTCTCATCACTGAATCAAACTTTTTTTAAGATGACTCCAGTTATCTGCTCTTAACCACATTCAAAGTTAAGACAGAATTCAATAATTTGCCAAATTCTGGACACTGAAATGCTTTCTTCTGGTGTCCTGACCAACAATCCCCCAAATATAAGTTGGTCATCACTTCATGACTGGGATTCTGGGTGGAAATTGGCTGGCGCATTTGCCTACAAATAAATGGACACTATACATCACAGTAAATGGGTGAAATCCTGTGAAATGCTTCGGCTGCCTCAATGAACTAGAACGCCATTCTAGCAAACGCAAGGTTTATTATAAATTTAAATCCAGGTGGAATTTTACCCCACTGATCTGCTTGACCTTCCAGCATGTGCTAAGAAACAATCATCTGAACAGGAATTCTAGAAATGATTTAAAGTGCCAGTTTGTATTCATGTTTTGCAAAAGTTGTTGGAATATTTCAGTCCTTTTATATCTTGATCATATTGTAGTTGGTTTATTTTATGCATTATCAAAATGAACTGTAGAATTGTTTCTATTCATTCATTTACGGATGTGAATATGTGCTACACCAAAATGGTTCTTCCTTAGAAAGCCTGGCTGGACTAAATTTAAGTGCTTTGAAGAGCTCAGAACCTGATGTCTGGAATATAGAATTACACAGCAAAGAAGGAAGCCATTCAGCCCATCGTGTCTGTGCCAGTTCTTTGAAAAGTGCTATTCAAATCAATTCCGTTCCCCTACTCTCTCCCCATAGTCGTGCAAATTTGTCCTCCCCAAATAATTATCTAATAGCCTATTTTAGATAATGTTTAACATGTTACAGAAATTATTTGTTTTCAGTGATTACTCAGGCATTACATTACTTTTCATAATGTGATTGCCCAGTTGGGCAAGTTAGTTTTTGCAGATGCTGTTTTAAAAACTTGCCAAAAGCAGAAAGGGTCAATGTATTTAAGAGGAAACTTGAATCACACAGGATAGTATGTGGAGTATAAACAACAACATAGACTATTTGCGCCAAATGGGCTATTTTCTTACAGTAATGCTATATAATCATTACACTACATGTAATTATTGTAATCCATAATACAACAAAAAAAGCAATTTGTGGACCATACCATCATAATGAAACAAAAATAATCTATTTTTAAATTTAGGATACAAATCACTAACTTTTTAATGCAGGCTATATTAATGTAGAAAGGGAGTACTGTTCACCTACCCCACAAAAAACAACTGTTCCTACTATAGACTGTCAATGTCCAAGGGATCTGTTAT